CGTGTGCCTTTATAATCCTGAGTTTCCCACAAATGCCAGACAAAGTGTTTCTGAAAAGCAGAGTGACATTTTACTTCCTGTTCAGCTTTGCCACCAAGTGGCCATTCCATTCCACACATTTTAATACCCAGTTAAAAAAAAGACCAGAACAGGAAACAGCCCAATTCCTATCTATTCTTACTGGATATTCCAAGCCATTAGCTAGCAGCTATGCTGGCACCGGACTAATTTCTGAAGAACTAGTTTCATAACAGAGAAACAATTAAGCAAGAGGAGCACACAGAATAACCAAGCCAATCCATCTTATTCTGTACCATGGGGAATGCAGCCATTTGGGATGCAGCTGATCTCTGACTTCCTCCTGCTTCATCTAAAAGCAGTACAGTGAAGCTGCATGTGAAAGATGTTTAACTAAAAAGGTGTTACATTAAAACCTAGACTTTTCGACACCTCTCCTGACTATTGCAAGGTATAGTAGCAACAGAATTTTAGTAAATCATCGCCTCAGACAAGTGCTGTTTACTGAAGTTCAGACAGAAGTTAGACAAAAAAATGACTATGTGAAATTCTGTAACCATCCCATGCAGAAAGTCAGGTGATCAGAACAGTCCCTTCTGACTAACAGTGACATATCTTTAAACTGGCACAACACAATGTCCCAGAATCATCTAATTATCCAACAAGAACTTTTTGAAAACTCTAAGAAGGAAATTGAATCACAGGAGAGAGATATATTCCAGATCCCGAGAGAAAGATGCATAGAGCAAATCATGCAGAGATAAACCAGATCTGAGAGGGGAAGATGTGAAGTGGCAGAATAAGCTGAAGACAAAACTTCTAACAGGTTGTTCCATTTCATTGATTCTCACTAGTGAGAAACTACTGAAACTGTCCTTTCTGAATTGCCAGAAACAGTACTGCAGTTGGTATAAACTACAAGATTGCCTCAGAACAAGCCATATTTTATTTTAAATATGTTTTTGCTGTACTGTTTCAATATGAATACTTGAAAGCTTTCTTTTAGGAGGTCATAAGATTTCCCTGGTATCCCAAGCCAGTTTTATGGCATATTTTATTATCTGTAACATGAGGGTGTAATTCAGAAAGTTTGAAAGCATAATCTTAAGCCATTTTCTTCAGCATTATGAAATTGTTATCACTGCAATACCCTAGCTGACGATGTCATCCAGTACTGAGAAGTTGCACTGACTTAATTCCCAAAAAAACAAAATTATCAGAAAGTTGCTGACATAAATCACAAGCTACTTTACTATTACAGTCTATCCTGTTATGCTCCCTCCTGCACACATTTCCTCCATTCTCCAATAACCTCTGTGAGCAGGCTGTGCAAGTTAAGACTACATTTAAAAAAAAGCAAGTTAAGGCCAAAATCATTCCTTGCACATCCCTATCACAACTGTAAAGTACAGGCATCCCAGCCTGTGCCACTTAGTCTGGCTCCATAATTTTAGGGGTTTTTTTCATATCAAAAGCTACCAGCTGCATCTCTAAACCTCATGTCTCTGGAGTGATGGTACCCCAAACTCTTCCTTTGGTTCCTCAAAACACTGCTCACTTGGCTCTGCTTAAAGCATTCCTCCCACCCGCTTATTATCTAGTTCAAACTTTTCCTTCCTTAGCCTTAAGCAATTGCTCTTTCTCCTACCGAGACCAAGCAATTCCCTCTCTTAATTTATCCTACTACCTTGATGATATTAATAGAATATAATCCAGTCACCTCTACTAACTCTAAAAATTGAGTTCACTCTGCTTTTTGCTGCCCTCCTTTGTGTTCCCTCTCATTTTCTCTGAGCCTGCACAAGCAAGACTTCACTGTTAAAAGTATTAAACAGCTCTACATGTAGGACCTTACTAAAAAACAACTATCTTGTTGCTCTGTAACAAGAATTGTGATGTAAAACCATGTGATGATTCTTTTTTTTTTTTAAACTTTGATGCTGCATGTTGATCCATGAACACAATGTCCTACAGATCAGAAAAATCCCATTAAGGAATATTTTTTTTTTCAGATCTGTACCACTCTGCTCTTCGTATAAATTACATCCCTGTGTTCAAAATAGTAGTTTACTGCAAAAAATCCGTTGAGACTCCACCACACACACCTTCCTCTCCCTTTTCAGATGAGTAAAGTGTCATGAACACCTGGCGTATCTTCTGTATTAAATAGCTGCTTTTAAGCCTCTAAAGGCTGTAAACCAAAATCAGTCTACAGTGCTGAAATGACTCTTTAATGTCAGCTGAGGGGGTTTTCCACCTATCTGGAGAAACCAACTGAACTACTAAAGCAAATGGAAAAATTATTTATGCATTACTTCATCCAATTAGGAACAATTAAAAATAGTGTAATGAAAAATCAGTTATTTCTTCTTAAATGTTTTTAAAAATACATGCCTGATTTCTAAAAACTTGTAGCTGACTTAATGATAGTAAATGTTAACTTGCATGTATTTGACATATTTTAGATCTAAAAAAAAAAAGAAAAAGTCAATCTGAACTATTACAAGAAGTTGATGTTTAGTAAGCTGCAGTGGAACTACAGGAACTTGAAAGCAAATTATTTTCAAGCAAAAAAGAAAAAACCCATCCAGCTCCACTGCAAACAAAATCCAGGTATTTTTCAAATAGTGTATAGGTTATGATGGTAGGTTACACGATTATGTTTGTTCATATATCTATCTCAGAACCAACACCTTGTCAGACAAGAGAGATAAGAAATACATATTCCTTAGTTAAATTACCCTATGTGCAGCATTCCAGCCAAGTAATTCAAGATTAGTAAATCAAGATTTGCAAACTGAAGCAAGTTACTTGTGTTCACCTGTTTATTCTTCACATAGATATTGTATATTAATATGCTTATGCATTAATGTGCTTTAAGCTACTTAAGACAACCATGAATAGTTTGAGGGTTTTGTTTTTGTAATTAGTGAGATTTCTATGCTTGGAACTCCCTCAACTGATAGCCACATAACAATAATCTGGTATAAATTTTAGAAAAAAAATTAAAATGGAGTAATGCTAGACTTCTGTCAAAATCACCTTGTCTGAGCCAAAAAAGTTAAATTTAACCATATGAAATTATTAGACTTATTATTATTAAAGCGTAGCTTTATTGTACTCACTTTTCTCATGTATTCACATTTGAAATTATTTTAATTAGAGATATATATACACACATAAAGCTTCTCATGCCTGTGATTCACTGGTGAATTATCTGGGACTGAGCCATCCCAAACTCAGTATAATCCTCCTTCAACAAACCCCATGTTAGTTAGTTTACAAATAGACACCTGATCGTTTTTATTCATGAGTATATTCAGTGCTTACTCACTCAAGAGTTAATACTAAAACAATTTTATTGATGCCAATAAAGTTTAGGTTTCTTTAGCTGAACTTACCTCTTTGCATCTGCTTCCATAAATATGCTAGCAAACATATCCAGTGTTCTGAAGAAAAAAAATCTAAGCACAGACATTTTCTTTATTTGCTAACATTTCATACTCCATATTGATCCATGAAGAGGTGACTTCGTACTTTATTGTGGCAGATTTAGGGTTTTTTTAGATACTTGTGTTCAAGACTACTTAAGACTTACTCTGCAATCTGAATTTTTTTAGAGCTGTAGTCAAGCAAAGTGTCAAATATGTCTTCATATCCTCATTTGCAGTCTTGGGCTACCGTAACTTTAACTGCTGAAGGTACCGAAAAGCTGAAAACGGGGACTGCTGCCTAGATTCCTTTTACTCCAGTAGTATCATTCTATCCATGAGAAAGAGGGGAGAGAACTGCAACAGGAATGTTTCTGTCCAAATCCACCTCTGCATTGCCGTCACTTCCTCAAATTGTATTTTCTACAGCTAGAAACTTAGCAGTTGGCTGTAGCATGTCCATGTCCAGACAGAGGCTAATGACTCCATGTCTGTTGCAAAGCTTTGATCAAATAGCTGTTTCAAGTAAAACAAAACTCTGGGGTTTGTTTGTTGTTTTTTTTTTTTTTTACATTTAGAACATCAGTAAAAAATCAGTACTGTTGAAAGTTTCATGTAACAAAGTTGGCAAAACCATGAGGTGAAAAAAGCCAAAGTCAGTAGGGCTATTTTGGAACAGAGGGAGAAAGAAGAGAGTGCTTTGTTCCAATAGCCACTGCTACTGAAATCAGTTAAGTGGAAAGAAATGTGGAACATAATCCCAAATATAAAACACATTTGTCATGATGTAGTTAAAACAAATTGTAACAATAACAGACATAATAGCAATTAGTTAGAAACAGAAACTGAGAAATTACATTTATTATAATAAATGAGATTAAATCTCAGATTAAACAGCAAAAACTGATGAAATTCCATCAAGCACTGAGGTGCAAAACATGAAACTAAAAGACTCTCAGCTAGCCAGAGCAACAGGAGAGCAGGTTACCAAGGAGTACCATGCACTAGAGGGCAGCCTGCACCTTCCACTGGCTGGCTGGGCCACAACCACCACAGCTGCTATTCTACTTGCAATACAAGCATGTAACAGAGCCCTCCACATTTTTGAACAACCCATATAACCACCACACCTGAAAGCTTTTGCTAGAGCTGGAGTGCAACTCGTATTAAAATGACACTTCTCGCTACATCAATAATTTCTAATGACTTTTTTTTTGTGTAAGAGTCCTATCTGCATACACTACCATTTTGCACAGATTCTGTGGTTTTCCCTTCAACAAAGTCTCAAAATACTTTTCTAAGGACACTGTTAATTACTGTCCATTATGAGGGGAAAGGGGGGGAACTTAAGCACAGCGTAGTGATGAAACATATGAAATCCAGGGACAAAATTAGATATGTGCTCCAATCTAAGTAAACATTACTTAACTTTTTAAATGAACCAGAATAAACAACTTACTTGTTTGTTAGTGTGTAAGAAAATAAATCGGCAGTTTCAGGCCAACTGATGAGTAAAGCTAAGCAGCAAGGAAATCTCATACACAGGTAAACAGAACTATTTTCACAGATTTATTTGAAAAATACTTAGAAAAGCAAGTATGTTTGACACTAAAATAGTTAAACTTATTCTGTGTTTACATTGGTGTAATTAAGCGTGTAGCATTAACAGTCTTTTCTGTTTGAAGCATTGTTAGTTTGCTTTAAAGGAAGTGGGAAAAATTCTGTTTTACAGATGAACAATGCCTCCCTACCACTTCTTCAGCAGCAACTACAGCTGTGATCTCTGCCCAAGATCAGCACACTGAAAACTGGGTTTGCTTTACTAACTGCCAGCCTGCCAAGTGCAGATTTACTGGAACCTGGAAGGTGGGCTAGTTTTTCCCCTAAGAAGCAACAGAAAAGGGGAATGAGAGGAAAACAAAATTATTGTGGTTTTTGTTTTTTTTTATGTGAAGAATATACCAAAGCTACATTTCATGAAAAAGAGTCCTCCAAAATGTCCTTTTGTTAGTATCCGTCTTCCTTCAAAACATGCACATACTTCTGAATTTACCCGTAAACCAGTGCCCCTTAAGCTTGCCATTCCTATAGCACTTTTTTGCTAGGACAGGCCAGGACTAGAATAGCTAAGATTTCCCATCCAGACAGCAGTTCAGTAGTGTCAGAAATGAAATACAGTGCAATTAGTTTCCATATATTGTATAGCTACATTTTAAGATGAAACTGGCACAGATACTGATTCAAAGAGTTTGCTGTCTCCATGTAATCCATGCTCTGGCAATGGCTTTAGTCTGTTCACAGAGCAGTTTATTACTGCACATGGAGTGGATGGAATCTCACCAGCCATTATTTTGCATGGTACCAGTAGCTGCTGCTGCTCGAGCCAGCGTATTTCTGTGTGCCTCTGAAGCAGAAGAGTAAGTCCCATCCACCACATGCACTGGCAGCATTCGCCTTCTGCCAGGCTGAGGGGTGTAGCTGTTCTGTCGCCAGTCTTCTTCTGGGGGCATGTCAACTCTCCTTGGACCCGGGGCTTTAACACAAGAAGGGGGCACAGGACAACCTTGAGAGGAACTGGGATCCCAAGAAGGCTCATGTGGTATTCTTAAAGTGCTGTAGTCTGTGCTGACTGGTAGCCTGCAACCGGTGGCGTAAGATTCATGAATTTGATGATGTAAACTCTTTCCTGGCTGGCCAGCATGTTTCCCCCAAAGCATCATTCGCTTATCTGGTAACGTGGCTGTTTGCCTGGCAGAGTAGCTCGTGTTCAGCCAACAGCCAGAGACACTTGATGCGCCACCTCCTAAATGTGGATTAACAAGAGGCTTTTGCCCCTGGGAGAGGGTGCCTTTGGGCGCAAAAGGGAGACTCCCATAGCTCAGTGCCACACCTGGGTAGTCTTCGCCTTGGAAAGCTTCACCCCTGTCAGGCACAACCAAAAGTTTCTGGATGATGTTCTTCTGATCTCCTGCAGTGGGAGGAAAAAAAAAAGAAGTTTGCTTAGTTTAATTTGTTTTGTTTCATCTTCTCTGAACTTTCGGCTGTGGCCAGCACGTAACAGAAGAAAACCAAAATCACTAGTACATCCAGTTACCGGTTGACATGCAGTTCTGAATAGAAGATAGCTGTACCCTTTCTATCATTCACTTTCCTCACTGCATTTATATTTATCCTACCACAGCCACTGTCACAGACTTCTGACTTCTTTACTAGCTCCTTGTGTCATCAAGGAGGAGCCCAAAGTATTTCAAGATAGAGCTGGTAGATCAAACTGGTTTTGATGGCTATGTCAGATAAAATAATTCTCATGCAGGAATTAGTTATTTCTGTTGGCACAGTTACATGTGTGTGGGTAGCCTGTGGAAGTACTCTCATACATGATAAAGTGGTGGGTCTTACTGCTATTTTTACACTAAAGAAAATACCTCACAAAAATGTGAATCGGATTTTAAATAAAAGTCATCATGATGTTTCAATAAAGATTATTCCCTTTTTTTAAATGTCCACTTAACACAGAATCACAGCATAACTCAAAAGGGCAGAGAAGAAAAAATGTGACTTGTCCTTTCAGAGGAGGAATTCTGGCAGGAATTCTGGAGGAATTCAGGCAGGTGGTGAAACATCATTACGAAAGACAAGATCTGAAGAGTTGTATTTCAGCAATATTTCTGATCACAAAGGAGGATTAAAAGTCCCGTGATTACCTGACGGTTTACGTGCCTTGCCCACCATGCTAGGCATCAGTACATCATGGGGTAGGTGCAGCACGTGGTTTGGGTTGTGCTGGGGATCAAAGGGAAACACAGGAGGATCATGGGGGAAAGGAAGGGAAGTGGAGCTGGAAGAACGGTGGCTGGTGTCCACTGGCATTTTCCTTGTACTTGGTGCTTCCTTTTATAAAATGAGAAAGGAGAAGAACATAAAATGATGAGTAAACACAGAGTTGGGTTGAAACAAGCAAAGATGGTGCTAATCCAAGGAAAGGGAGGAGTCACCAGACCAGAGACATGCATACAGAGACATGTGAAAAAAAAATGCAAATAAGAACTGCATCAATCCAGTAAGGTTCTTACTGCAGTGGTGGGCTACTTGGGAGAATCACTTGACTGGGAATATAGGAGAAAAAGCAAAACCAAATACAAATCACTCATGGAGGTTTGGTTCACAAACTGTGTGTGTGTGTGTGTCTTGGACAGCTAGAGATTCTTAATTGCTTCTGCCAGCATCCCCAGGTATACATTCAAGCCCTCAACTAAAGTATGCTAAGGAGCAAGCATGTCAAAGTTGACATATTCCTACCTTATGGCACACAGCAGAAAGAGAATCAGACCAACCAGTCTAAATAACGGATTTTGCGACTGAGACTCCTCTATACTCACTACGCAGTTTGTTTGAAATCAAAACTTGAGCTCAGTTCACAAAAAAATTCAATCCAAGCTAAATCTTCACATTTTATCTGGCTATGTTGCTAAACACCAACAATAATCTGTTACTGTTTTCCTCACTGGCAGTATTAACTTGCTACTTAATAGAGACTGATTTTTTTATCTCCCTGGTTTTAGTTAATTCCTGTAACTGACTGCACGTTACATACCAAGTCTTGAACTGTCCCTCCCTTTTGTTTGCTTTTACTCTCTGAAAATACTGTTTGCTGAAATATAACCACAAAAGAGCAGAAACATTCAAATGGCTAGTGGTGTCTTTTTAAAATCACAGGTATTAGAAGTTTTCTTGAAAATACAGTAATGTAACTGAAAAAAAAGTTTATACGGGATGTCTTTGCATACTGGCAAGTAATATTAGCTCACATGTTTACCAGGTGCAGCAGGTACTACTCTGCACTGACACCTGAAGTAGATGGCCCTGTTACTTAAAAGCTCATTCTTCTTCCAAAAAGGGAAGAAAAATTCACAAAGAGAAGCTTTCATTTTCTGAACAATAATGGCTTATTATTCAGTTGTCTGCTGTCTTGTTTGTTACCTTCTAAATGCAGACAGATAAAACAGCAACCCTACACACAGATGATGGTTCTCTGGAAAGCTGAACATCATTCTACTTACAAAACTGTGAGAAGAGACCAAGGTCTCTTCTCTGTTTGAGACGACTGTCCCACTGAGACTGCGAGCAATGCGACGGAAATTCTCTGCACTGTACATTTCCTCCTCTTCTGGTTCCCTGCTATGTTCTCGGGTATATCTGACCTGCAGACAATATCACACATTTCAGAAAAGGCTCTCCAAAATGTCAGTTTTAACAGCTAAGGCCATTGTCTCTTATCCTATTGCTTGTCATGTGGGAGAAGAGACCGACCCCCCACCTCACTATGGTCTCCTTTTATTCCTTCTTTTCCTCTCTTTGGTACAAGCAAGACTATTAAAGCTCCTTTAAATGAGTATGGACACTATGGGACTATATACTACACTGTAGGACATGTCATTTCCCCTTGAAAATACTTGTATGTTTTCATCCAACACTGATGTGTTAACTGCCAGTTATTTAAAGTTTCTCAAAGTTTTCAGGGATTTGTTCCTCAATCAGAACTTGGGAAATTTGATTGCACGCAAGCTGCATGTAGCATGAGTCACTCACTTTTAGCTAATTAATCTTGAGCTACACTGCGCTTAAAATTCTCTCTTACATTAGTATCAATGACCCCAGTACCTTTTTCATAATATATTCCAGTTTTTCCATTATAATTTTTTTCACTTGCACAGGACAAGCCCTTTCCCCTCTAGCACATTCTAAGTAATACGTCACCTTGGAGACAGAAGAGGCAGCGGATCCAGACAGGCTGCGCTCGATCTCTGCTGTTGGGGTTTTCGAGAGTCCCATGCCAGCTGTAGCATGCAGCTTCCTCACATTCAGGTTCACAGAGACTGGAAAGGAAAATGCTCTGGTTAAATTCAACACCTGATAGCATGTTACAGCCAATTTCTGACTTCCTTAGGCCTGACTCCAGCAAATACAGACTATACACACAGAACGAGAAGTCAGAGATCCTTTGAACAGTAATTTATAAGCTAGCTCCCAACATTTCCAGGGCAGACAGTCTATCAGGAAACTTACACCTGCTTTACTTGCCCTTTTGCAGGCTTCTGGTGAACAGATAACTGACCTATTTAAGAGTTAAATGATTTAACTGCACACCAGCACTTACTTGATACAGAGACGATATAGTTTAGAGGGCCTTAAGGGACAGGAAATCAGCTACTGAGAACAAATTATCTAAAATTACTTGGGATTAACAAGACTCATCAGCTTTAAATTCCGCACACATTCACCTGCTGGTTCCCACCCACTGCTACAGTTTGTCTGCCATTTGTTGTGCTGCTTAAGCAGTTAAAATTGATATTTTTGATTGGGATTGCTACAATCCTTTCATTTAAGTGCCATCCCAACCTAAATCTCATAATCCTAAAATTTCTCATAGAACAGACATGCAGACTATTGGCCTAATATAAATTCCCTTACAGGCAATCTCTCTATAAAGGAAGAAAGCTGATGTTCTGGTAACAACACATTTTCTGCATTGAGGGTGGTGCATTTGGAGGATTAGGTCTTTGCTTTAATGTCTGTTGTAAAGCTCCAGTAATGAAACAGAGGCATTTCACCATTACTCCGAATGCAAAGGTCTGACAAAATCAGCTGATACAGAGCTGAAGGCTTGAACAGCATTTGCAAATGAACAGGTAATCCAAGCTGAAAGTGAGAAAGAGCTGTCCTAGACCCACTCAAGTGATTTTTATCCAGTTCATCACAGTAGACACACTAGTTCACTTTTTGCCTTGTAGAGAATTTGCAGAACTTAAAAAGAAACATCTGAAAGTGACAGCAAACCAGAAGTTCTCAAATACAAACTTCATTTTAGAAGTCTATCTGCATCTTGTATCCCTCATATATATAGTGAGAAAACAGGCAAGAAAAGTGTCAGCGTTAAGAAACGAGACATACAAGGACAGAAGTCTGAAGCTCCAGGTAACACTAAAGCAGCTGGACTTTATCCTGTTAAGATTTCCAGAAAGAGCTTCCAAAAATCAGTAAGTCGGAATACATAAGACCTGATTCAAGCCCATGCAAGAGAATATTTGCAAGGTTGTGAGGTCAGATCTTGCCTAACTCTGAAAGAAAACCAAAGGACAACAAATGGGAAATAGCCACCTTCAGATGTGGCAACTGGTCTGACAGTGGACTGCAAGACAAGAGTTTCAAAGAAAACTCAAGCTGTTGAATAAAAACCTGTTAAAGAGTTTACTGCAGTATTTGCTCTATTAGCAAGCTAAGCTTGATATTGTCAGGAATGATGGAGGCTCTACTTCCATGGGTGCAAAGCAGGGGAAAGCCTCTCTTGTGTATGTATTGTAATACAGATCACACACACATGTATATGTGTATGTATGCATCTTTCACTTTGGTACCCATGAAGTTTCAGGCTGCTTTGTATTTAAAGATGCGTACCTCTAAAACTATGACATGGATTATAAAGGAATTTGGTTCACTTGTGCTAAGCAGAGAATCAAGGATGCCCTATCTCAGTCAGGAGATTAGATCAGCTTAAGTGGAACTGGACTGCTATCATCAGACTCTAACTAAACGTCTCCAGCAACAGCTGGGTGTTCTCACCAACAGCAACAGAATCTGTTCATTTTCTTTCGGCATCAACTAATCCGCAAGGTCTCAAGGAACTTAGTGCAGATTGTGTACCCCCCGTGCTGCTTTCCAAGTAATTTTCCAGAATTTTAAGCAGGTAGTTCTTAGCAAAACATAAGCTCAACTCTCATAGATCTGGAAACACTTTTAAAAGTTACTCCCCTCAACCAGGTACAGATTAAGTTCTCAAATACAATACAATCAGTTCAAATTCACAAATGTGGTGATACAGAAATCATTTAATGAATTCCAGAGGTGATGTGGGGCTTTAAAACAGCAAAATTCATCAGCTTGACCTAAGCAGCTAGTTCCCTGCTTGAAAACAGGATCAATTATTTCTATGTCACTCTTGACAGATGTTGCTCTCCATTTGCCAAGATCAACAGCTACTCTGCAGCCTCCACAGGCACTGCTTTCACACTGCTTCTCTACCTGTATCATTAGAATGTTTTCAGAGTCCACAACCTCAATCTTTCTGCATCTGTGCACAAATTCATGCCCATGTAACTATACTGACTGGAAAAACGTATCTTCACCTATATTGGGAGTAGATAGGCAGGTCAACCAAGAAAAACAGCTGCATCGTTCTTACCTGATTGGTCAAATTGATACCTAGCACTGTCCTGTCTTCCCAAGAAAGGCCTAGTGGCCTGAGATGCCTGCAGACTATTCTGATAGAGGGATTCCAGTTCTGAGAGTTCCTGTTCTGTGTCTTGATTCCACTGTGGATGCAGATGTACTGGGATCCTGCTCAAGTCATCTCCAACTGCTCTCTGATCAGAAAGGGGCGGACTCCTCCCAGGTACAGGAAGCCATTCAGTATTCTTATTAGCCTTCTGAGAACTGTAATACCTAGTAACATTATTCACCCAACAGTCCACAGGCATAGAGGCAACCATGCTACTAGTAGCTCCATCATCCACCTGCTTCATTCCTCCATCATGAGAGTGCCTTTCCAGGTAGTGTGCAGGGTCTGCTATATTCTGTCCACCTCTTCTACATAGCTCTTCGCTGTGAGAACAAATACTCTTAGAAGCAACATGCTGGACACTAAAACCCTCCAAAGAAACTACCACGTCCCTAATATCCACAGTTGAGTGTAATTTGTCAGAAGATTGTTTTTTGTTTTCTTGGTTTTGATGAATTAGCTGTCTGTGACCAGAGGATGAAAGGCTGATGGAAGATTTTTGTGGTAACTTTGGAGACTTCTCATCCTGACACACTGCAGTAATCCAGCCTTTTTCAGGAGTACCTTTTCTCTGGGAGACTGCATGCATTTTCTGAAACTGCTCTGCCAAGGAGCGAACATGTCCCTTTGTACTAAATGCCTCAGATTTACAACCTTCTCCTGTGCCATATTCATCCTGTGAGGGTAATATCTCATGGCTGTTTGCTATGGAGCACTTATTTGTTTTCTGCAAAGGATCCAAGGAGCACTGCTGTGTAGGGGATAAAATTACAGGGGTCACTGCATGGCAGGACCCTAAATGATCAATGCTGGGCTGCACTGGAGAGCTTGAAAGTTTCGAACAGGGACTGTGCTGGCTGTCATTTTCAGGAGATGCTGGTTGTGGTGGATGTGGACAGGGAAACAGTGTAGGAAAAGACCCAGAGCTTATTGTGTTAGCCTTGGATTTGTACTGAGGTGTGAGAATAGGCATTATGTTATGAACCTCTTCTAACTTGCTGCTTCTGCAGCATTCCCTATAGCCTTTCAGCCCTGTGGCTGTGGTGTCAGCAAATTCCACACTATGGTGGGCATCATTCTCAGTTCTTGCAGACCTCTCTGCCAACCCTTGCCTACTGGGAAAAGAGGGAACTTGGTCATGAAAATCAGCAGAAGCAGACTGGAAGTTTGGAGAGATCCTGTTGGATGGATTGCTTTCACAAGGGGGCAAGGAGGAAGATTCTGGATATAATGATGAGTGCAATTCATGGCAGGAAGCAGGTGGGTGGAAGAAAGAACTGGACCCAAATTCCACTTCTTTGTTGGGTTCCAGTGGTACTTCCTGGCTCAGCAGTACTTGGAGCGGGCCAGTCTGTTCACTAAAACACACAGAAGGGTAAATGATTAGCAGTAGTCATTGCTTAAGTTTACTCCTAGGGTAAAGAATGTGTACTATGAGACATATGCCTCAAGACACTTTGCTAACTGTATTCTGATGAAGACTTTGCATTAATTTAGTAGATACATACGTATTAGGCCCTGGATTCTAATCCTGATTTTCTTACTGGAACTGATCTACTGAATTAGTTTCATAAAGTATTTCTCTACAGTTAGGCTCTATATATCCTTGTACAGCACCCTAAGCACTTTAACCAGCAGTGTGAGCATGTGGGTAGGTATTAACTGTAAGAACAGTAAAAGTAACATTTATATAAAATAAAACAACTGTTTCCAACATTCACATCTTAGATATTTTTGAAAATACTTTGGACATGTTCATGATCTGAACATGAACAGACTATTTCCATAAGCTGTTCTCTCTCTCCAGACAACTTTACAAAGAATTATATGACAAATCAAAGGCAAAGGTTGAAATTTATTTCATATCATCTTTGTATTCTGATCTTTGAGATATTTATCCAAAACATAAAGTTCAAATTAAATATGTAACTATTATTTTGTAAGAATTTGTATTCTAAGTCTAATTCTAAAAATCAATTTGTATTCTTTCATGTAGCAGTGCAAGACAACTATATCCTTGGGTCATACACAGCCTTGGCGTTTTTCTGCATTTAGTTAGCATTTTAATTTGCAGATAGACAAAACAGTACCAACTCCATGTGCCTGTGAGGAAATGACAGGCTACAAACATCTCCAACAGAGAACTTAAGGAAACTGTAATATCCCTGCTTTGTTTCCTCCTCAGATGCACAAAATGAAAGTTATCATATGAAGACCTGGTTAATACGTGTAGCAGAATGACCTTTCCTGTAAGCAATAGCTACATTCCATTTATACCAAAGCAAGAGTATAGAACTCTCACTATGAATAGATTCTTTTTATTGGCTGCAATATTAACATTTGCTTGGATATAACTTTTTGCAACAGCAATGTTCTTTTCACAAGGCAGCAGTGAGCAAGTTCAGCATTAACAGAATGAGGAGAAAATTCCTTTCTTTCATTTTCTTAGAATTTTGCCAAAATGCTCTGCATTTATCCTGTAAAAGAGGATATAATGGACCTCTGATTGACAAAAAGATCAGCCCTCATTACACATAATTCAGCTAGTGCAGAAAAAGAAAAGAACATTTTGAACTATAGCCTGGCAGGTGTGCAAATTAACTGTGTTTTACTATATAGCTTTATGTGTCATTCTAAAAAAAGGGAAAAGAAAGGGGATTCTCATCTGAAATATCATCTAAGCTTCTAATAATACAACATGTTAAGAAAGGGTAGAGGGAAGAAAAGTAACAGTTCAAGAAATTGGATAGGGATGGTCTAGTGCTAGGAGGGAATGGCATGGGAAGAAAGAAGGATTAAGCTGCATGCTAAAGAGGGTAGGAAGAAATGATCAGTTATAGCAGAGCGTTAATTATGCTATAGTTAAAGTCGGTAAAGAAGAATCATGAAGAGGCACTGAAGAGGCTGCTAAGCCAGGCTACAGGATGCTGGGAAGCAGAGAGAAAATGAAGAATGGTACAGAATCAGGGAGAGTAGTCAAGGTGACAGGATCAGGATCTGGATCCAAGAGTTGTACCAGTGCACCACTAGAGAAGTAGACTAGGACGAAAAGATTGGCATACTTGTCACTTCAAACTACGGAGCACTAAACCACACTGGCTGCAGATCCCAACATAAAAGCAATTACAAGAAGAAGTTTACTGTAGCACACTCTTTACTGAGTCCTGAAACTGCTCCTTATTATAAACAGTTGCATATTTAATCCTAATACACAACCCCCTTTTGGCCAGGTTATTGTCTATTGTATTCTTTCCCTTGGTGCATAAAACTTCAATGCAGCCAGGCACCAACTGCTGCAGTTCTCTGTCACAGATCACATTTTGAACACATGCACACTGAACTACTCTATAAAGACTTGAGATAAAAAAAGGGGGGGGGGAAGAGATGTTAGCTGACCATCTTATTATAGGATTTAACCTAAAGAAGAAAGGAATAGGGAGTCACACTGTAGGATTTGGACTATCCAGGGTGATATATATGTAGTTTGCTATTTCTTTCCAGGCTGCACTGCTCATAGATGCAGCTCAGATCTGGGTCTAGGTGATATACTTGGACTACCTTGTAGACTGGGCCATGGTGCCGCCCTGTGGTGGGTGGCAGGTTGGCGGCGGCAGCGGCTGCGATGGCTGTTGGTGCTGCATGCGATCCTGGAGGCTCCGGGCTTTTCGGATACTGATTTGCAGCTTCTTATCGACTAGGGCTCTGCTGTGAGTGCTAGCGCTGGCATCATGCATGGCAAGTCTTAGTTTAGCTAAAATGCAAAAGAAAACATAGCAGAAAACAAACAGAAAAAAGGAATAAAATTGAAAAAGAAAAAGAAAAAACAAAAGAAAAAAGATGCAGCAAGAACATAAAACACAGACCATGCAAATACTGCCACAAGAGTTCACAAGGATGCTATTGTTTCCATTAATGCACATTCAGCTTAGGCAGGTGTCCAAACACGTTAATTGAAACTAAACCAAAATAAAGTAAAAACTTAAAAATTAAAAAAATAAAAAATTCATGTTTTAGCCCAACTTCTCATCCCCTTCACACAGGCTCTTTCCAACATTACCACATTGATGCTTCGTTCTGTCATCTACCCTTCTGTTACATCCTCCATATGTGGGACTCACTTTATCAGCAGGAATACCCAGCTGGGATTTGAAATTCAGCACATACCTGGCTGGAATGGGAGCTAATAGAGCTATCACAACAGCTGTATGCTGTGCCCCTTACTCTGCAGTCCATAAAAGCCGATTTCTAAATGCAGATGCACAGTAGCTACCCACTCTGTCTGCAGCCATTCTCTACAGACAGAGGGGAGCATGGGGTGAGACAGCCAGCCAGTCATAATGGAAAAAGACTGAAAAAAAAATGAAATCATACAGCACACATTCTCAAAGGTCACAATGCATTTAAGCACTCGATGTCCTAAAGCTTTTTTCTTCATGAAAGTCAGATACTGCATAGCTCATTTCTGCTAATTCACAGGACTCAGTGGGCTACCATTTAGTTCCTCTGCTACACCCTCCATGAGAAAACAGAGAAGCTTAATGCCCTTTGTCATTTGGCCTGAGGATGGGGGAAAAATTGTTAACTGAGGACCAAGTGGTAGGGGGAGTTCCCTACTAGGTGCTTGCTGAAACACACCGTTTAGTACCAAAAAGGGCACATCAGCACCCCAGTGCTGCTACTGCCACAGTGCTAGAGAGAACAACAAAACCAGATGCAAACATGAGAAAAACAGAGATGAAGAGGAATAGGACTAAAACCCCCAAAAGGGAATGCGTTCAAAAAAAGGAAAGATTGTGTCTCCCTGTGTATTTCTAAAGACCACCTGGATCTCCATATTACTACCTGACCATTTAACATGATTCAAAGTTTCAGACTTTTTTACATATTAGTAAACTGTCAAAAGCGCAATAGCTCAAGCAGTTAGTTACTTACAGATAGCTTCGTTACAGAGAGCCAAAGCTGCAGCACAATCCCCCTTCTGCTCCTGATTCAGCGACTCTTCAAAGATTGAGTCTGCCTCCTGCATCGACTTCTCAAAGCCATCATTCCTCCCTGCAATGGGCAGCACCCTTCATTTTGGTTTCATTCACTGCAGACCCCTCAACTTACCCTCATCCCATTCGTGACTGCCAAATTCTTCCACACACAGAGTCTTGCAGAGGCTGCACATATCCCAGATCACACCACCTCACCTTCCCTAAGCAGGAAGTACAACTTGAGCACCTGATATGCTTGACATTGTTTTACACAGTAAAACAACGACCTATTTCCCCCCTCAAATTTTGTTTACTTGAGTTGAAATGGTTTATTATTTTCAACAGTCTAAATCAGTACAAAAGATGGTATAGATGTATCACAGAGTCAGTTCTGATGACTTCTGTCAAGTAGGAATTAATGTAAATTTAGAATTAAATCTAAACCAAAATATATCAGTAACAGAAATCTAGCAGGGCAAGGCTTCCCTTGTATGTTAAGTCCCCTGCCAAAAATCACCTCTCTCCAGATACCAAATCACTTCCATACAAAATGGAAACAAACTGAAACAACTGAGACATCTGGGAAACAAAACTCAAGAGCTGAGTGCCAGTGTAATGCCTGCAGAAAATAATTCTGCAAACATGAGTTCAATGCACAGTACACTCAACTGCTGAGACAGACATAAGGAATATCAAAACCCAATGGTCTTGCAGCTTTAGAAGAAAAAACAGGTGTAAGAAGCCGAGAAGAAGGAGACAGTTGTCAAGAATTCTTTATGCAACAATTTAGAAAACAGTGTTGGAGAGACGGATAAATTATCCTTAGGCACTAAAGAAACTCTGTGTCCTGTCATCGGAACATCCAATTCCGAGAGGAAGAAATGCCCAAACAATCTGCTGTAACCTATTAGGCATTACACCAAGTTATGCACTAAAATGTATAGGAGAAAACAGAAAAGTTTTGTTTAGTTTAAGGGTGGGTGTTTTGTTGTGGGTTTTTTGGTTTGTTTGGTGTTTCTTTTTGTGGGTTTTGTGGGGGTTTTTTGGTTTTTTTATTTTTTTTTTTTTAATGACATGTTTCTGTCACTGTGGTAGAGAACATGAGTATCATTACCAGCCAGTAACATTGTTTTCTCAACTTGCCCAGCATATGCTATGGCCTGGCCTGCTCCCCAGCACCCTCATGCACAGGCACAAACACAAACTTTATTACACCATAAACCACAAAGAACTTGCATAAAGGACAAGTACTGCAGAGAGAGAAGTGAGAGTTGTTAGAGCAGTGAGTTAATCAAGCAGCACATTCAGTTTCAAAATCAAGGCTACTGAGGCTTGTAATCAAAACCAGTATACTGAAGTTAGCTTTCTTAGCATGATTTTAGCAGTTTACTTGAGGGCAAAATGAGTCACAAGTGTCCTGGAGTAATATGCACAAGCAAGTCTTCCAGGCAGTCAAGTAGTTCACTAATGTTAAGCTATTATTACATCTCTGACTGGGGTGGAGAAAGACTTAAAAGGAATAAACAAAAACTCTCCCAGATCTCACGTCGATGCCTGTGAACTCCTCAAACAGTCTACTCAAGTCTTTTTTGATTCGTTTTGTTTACTTTCTTTTTAACAAGGAAAAGCTAAGAAATTTTTACTTTTACCAACTAATAAAGCAAGAGATCACAGGGGAAATACCCTGGAGAACATGCTATTTTCTTTCAGGCAGGAGAAGCAGAGAAGACATCATCTTCCTACTCAACAGTAGAGGTTAAATTTTCAATTTTTACATCATTAGCGTTTATGTTACAAAAGTAGACATAAAAAAAGGTATCCGTCCACTCTGGTATATCAGAATTTTCCAAATAGTTACTGGCAGGTCACAGCGGGACTGAAAAGGATAACTAAGTGGCTCACTGATGGTCAGCAAAAATTATAAGAACATACCCACAGTCACATACTCTCACAGAGATCGTATTTTTCATCAGTCATAGAATCACAGAATCATAGAATAGTTAGGGTTGGAAAGGACCTTAAGATCATCAAGTTCCAACCCCCCTGCCATGGGCAGGGACACCTCACACTAAACCATACTACCCAAGGCCTCGTCCAGCCTGGCCTTGAACACTGCCAGGGATGGAGCATTCACAACCTCCCTGGGCAACCTATTCCAGTGCCTCACCACCCTAACAGGAAAGAATTTCCTCCTTATATCCAATCTAAACTTCCCCTGCTTAAGTTTTACCCATTACCCCTTGTCCTATCACTACAGTCCCTAATGAATAGTCCATCCCCAGCATCCCTATATGCCCCCTTCAGATACTGGAAGGCTGCTATGAGGTCTCCATGAAGCCTTCTCTTCTCCAGGCTGAACAGCCCCAGCTTTCTCAGCCGATCTTCATATGGGAGGTGCTCCAGTCCCCTGATCATTCTCACGGCCCTCCTCTGGACTTGTTCCAACAGATCCATGTCCTTTTTATGTTGAGGACACCAGAACTGCTCACCATACTTCAAGTGAGGTCTCATGAGAGCAGAATAAAGGGGCAGGATCACCTCCTTCGACCTGCTGGTCACACTCCTTTTGATGCAGCCCAGGATACAGTTGGCTTTCTGGGCTGCAAGCGCAACTGCCGGCTCATGTTCATTTTCTCATCAACCAGCACCCCCAAGTCCTTCTCCGCAGGGCTGCTCTGAATCTCTTCTCTGCCCAGCCTGTAGCTGTGTCTGGGATTGCTCCAACCCAGGTGTAGGACCTTGCACTTGGCATGGTTAAACTTCATGAGGTTGGCATCAGCCCACCTCACAAGCGTGTCAAGGTCCCTCTGGATGGCATTCCTTCCCTCCAGCGTATCAACCGAACCACACAGCTTGGTGTCATCGGCAAACTGGCTGAGGGCACACTCTATCCCACTGTCCATGTCAGCGACGAAGATGTTAAACAAGACCGGTCATTGGCAAGTAACACTCTGGCTGCTGAGCAGTTGGCATGGCTGTAGGCTACAGAGCACTGGCTATACTGTGCCGAGCTAGCATTGCTGTGGGCTGTCCCTCTGCTTCCTCTCTCTCCTGTAGCATCAGACCAGCATCTCTCACCTACAACAGGTCTGAGGAAGTAGCATGGGATGCCAGGAGGCCTGGTAACGCAGGAAGCCACTGTGGGTTTGCCCCAGTCACACAAGCATTTGTGGGAGCAAAGCCTAGGCATTCATTCACTACACCCTGCTTGGCTCTGCTAAGGCACCAGCAATCCCCCCTCCCCAGTTAAATACCAGGTTTCATTCTTGACTGGGTCAATGCATTTCACTCCCCTTCTCTTTGACTCCCCTGGCCGACTGATGGAGATTTAAGGTTAAAACAAAGATGCTACAGACAAATCCTGTCACCAAGTTGTCTCTGCTGCAGCTCTATCCTTCCAATTAAAACTTTTGCTGCCATCCCCTGCCAGAAACATGAGGAATCATGGAAGACAATCAAACTTAGTATTTAGCTTTTCCTTTTTATCACCCCCCAGATTCTTTTTCCTTAGAAAACATATGTAATCTAAACCCAGCCCAGATTTTCAATTAGATCCAGTTTAAGCCTGCCACAGTTCCTGTTCTCACACCTGTGCTGTGGCTGCACAGCTGGTCAGGGATAGAGTGGGAAGTACAAGAGCAGGAACAAGCAGAACTGCTTACTGGTGGTAGTTCTACCAGAAACAAAACAATGGCCTAACTGAACAAGCTATGCTGCATGTGGATGGCTCATTTTGCATCATATTCCATCAACGCCTCATTCCAGGCCATTGATTGAAGCCTTAGAGCTAAATCTAGATATCAATACTATTAATGGTGCGTATCACCATAAAAATGGAAAGGTGCAACTCTATTAAAAACACCTCTGCATCTTTGTCTCATTTAAGAAAGTTTTTGGTCAAAATATCAAACAGTTTTTTTGCATCCTACAGATTTGAAATTGACAGTCTTTCACTAACTGAAGGTACAAAATTACAATGGAGAGGGAGAGAAAAAGAGAGAGAGAGACTTACAACAGGAAGGTTCAAATGTTTAAAAAATTCCAGCACTAGTCTTGCAAAATATACTGCATTCAAAAAGTTACCCTGATTCTGCAGTTCATCTAGATCCATGAACCTGCTTGGGTGGGGATTAAAGCCCATTGCTGCCTCCATTTCCTTTTCTCTTTTTCTGCGTAGTTCTTGTTCATGTGCTCTCCTTGCCACCTCCTCTTGCAATTCATCCAGTTCACTCTTTAAAGGGCCAAACATCTCCCCACCTTCCCCAAAAAAAATAGAAGAGAGAAAAAAAACTTTTTTGATAGTAAAATATCTTCAAGATACTCTTTAATATCCTTTAAAAGACAAAGAAATATTAATGGAGAATACAATTAACACTAGAAAATAACAGACTGACCAAGCAAAAGAATACATAATTTCAGATCACAAATTTTACTTTGTTAAATCTTACTTTCAAAACCCTGCCTAAGCCATTTGGTTTCCAACTGCCTTCTCTGTGCCAGTGACTGGCATAAACGTTGCAATATTGCTTCAAGCTCCCCTGCAGCACAGCCCATCCCTGGATTCACTGACCCAGACAGGGCAAATGGAACAGAGAGAATCACTGCAAGAGGGAACTCTAAGCTGATGCTGAAATCTCTAAGTTTCTTACTGTGCTTATAATTTGTAAATAATGCTATGTCAAATTAGCCAGATCATTAGCTTAACTAAGTACAATGGATTCCAGCTGAAAAGCTTTTCATCTAACTGCACAAGCAGATGAAAATGGGAAGAAAATAAAGCGTATCAATATCATAGTCAACAAGCAGATACCAGTCATCATTCTTGCACCAATTATGACCTGTACACGGAAAGTGTCTCCTCTCTGCCCCCCTTTCCCTTCCCCAGACATTCTCTGGCATAAGTTATTTGGTCAGAACAATACTTAACTGGAATGCACATCTGCAAGCAAAGCTCAGCCTTAACCTGATACTGTAAATATCCATTCTCATGAGCTTTTTTTTTTTCAGGACTTGTCCATCCTACTAAGTTGTTATGAGTTATGCTTGGGAAGTTATTTTCCACTGATGGCAGAATACTGAGGTACGAGGAAGAATAGGAAAAATAGTTTTACTTTATCAGTTACATCAATACTCAAAAAGATGTCAGAGTAACACGATCAAAGGAATATTCCAACAATGTTTTTTACAAGATCTCCCAAAGGGGGTTGCAAGTTGTATCTTGTAAAAACCATGTTGTGATCCTCAATGTTTCCTCTCCCTTCCTTGTAATTTCACTGTGAAAATAAATATCCAATGCAATTTACCTTTCAAATTCACTGCTACCAGGGAAGTGTATCTTACCATTTCCAATGGCCTGTGAGCTGTTTGCCCAGCTACCAACTGATGAAGTAGACTCCACTTCCAAGATACTGCTACTATGAGACTTTGGGATGTTACGCCAGGCAGGAACCAATCCACCTGTTCGCTTCATATGAACATCCCTCCAAGAAGAGAAAAATTAGTTTACCATTTTAGCAATTTCTCCAGGAGAAATTATATCTATCTTTCCTTTCTTAGCATCACATAAATATTTATTTGCATTTTCATTTAAGTTTAAGAAAGCCTATCATCAGAAAATCTTCAGAAATACAGGGAAAGAGAAAGTTAACAAAGGGGAGAACAAAAATTCTGTTCTCCTCCATGACAGTATGGAATGCATATTAAAACTGTGGTCTGGTAGCTGTTCTCAACAGATTTGGACAGCTGAAAATCTATTATTCTGGCCATGAACAGTCTCAGTTTGTGAATGCCTGAAGCTTCCTGAGCCAAGAAGAGAAACACACTATGCTGCCTATTTATTTTTGCATATAAATATTGCAAGTGTCTTCAAGACTTCACTAAACCTCTCAAAATGAAAATGTCAAAGATTTTTATACAAGAATATTGATTTCTCATTTTACACAAGGCTTCTCTCAAGCAACAGTTTAACTGAAACAAAAAGGTCCATGCTTGTCCTTTGAACAAAATTTCAAAGGACAACCATTAAGTTTGATAATTTAGTTGAATTTTTGAATCACAGACTAATGGTACAACTACTCAGGAGTGCAATTTTAGTCAACATTTCTCATTTTGTGAATCCTATTTCTTTCTCACTAGCAGTAAGCTATCATATATAGCTAATATACTGACAAGAAAAGGCATCAAACTCACTCAGACTCCTATTTCATTTCTCTTTCCCCCCTGCCCCAATAAACCTGTATTACAAGCTAGGAGCACTGTTTTGCATTTGTAAAGAAACGTTCCATACCATTATGCAACTACAAAAACCAAATCAAGACTTCAATCACTCAAAAAATGAAGTTTCTTGCAATCTACCTGTGGGTACTTGAGCTTTCAGACAAGGGCAAGTCCAGACTAACAGGGCTGTTGCTGTTGCGCTCGCTGCTTTCATAGCCAGACTCCATCCTCTGTATTAGATGAGGCTGCTGATCCACCATATGATGCTGGGTGCCCCGGCCTAGCATACCACGCTTGTATCTGGCATTTGACTGGCTTGATCTTACTTCTTGAACGGTGTGTTCCTTCGCCACATTCTCAATAAGCTCTTTACCTGTTAAAATGAATACAGCTGAGTAGAAGATCAAAACTTCAATATCAGCAAATCATCTATATATACATGTTAGCTTCTCAACCATGCTTAAAACCAGAAGCTCTGTCTTAAGTATAAAACGAGCAATATTAAGCAGAAAAAAATCCCAACACTTTTACAGCATTCCTAGTAATATTAAGCAATAATCTATTCAACAAATCTATTTTTTAATCTCTCCCATACTTACCATATTCCTCTCCCGGGTAACAATAAAGTCTGGAAAGAAAATCTTTTCTTCCTCATAACTATTTGTATTATTGCAAGATCATTTTACAGCTTACCCAACTTTATTTCCAGTTTATATTTGTTACCATACTCTGTCATAGCTACATCAAACTCTGCACCTTTTACATTATTTTGCCATGGACAGGAAATTTTTTTTAATTCTTCCTTACTGATTTCACTGTCTTCCCACTTGCCTCTTGTTTGCTTCCTTTGCTTCCTTCCCTGGAACTGTGCTCTTCTCCCTTCACCTTCCCTATACATGGTTTTCTACACTTCCCAATTCTTTTCAACATTTAGCTCTTCTGAGTTGGTATCATCTGTCCCTCCCTCTCTCCAGGCTCACTAATATCCACATCAGCTTCCTCACTAACCACAACTCTGCTGCCAGTCACACAAACCTCTTTTCATTCACATAGTATCCTTCAAGCAATCTGAAAGGTGAACACAGCAGCATAAAAACCAGGAACTGGAACACATCTATTCTTCAAACCCTTTACAGTTTCAGGAGTACTCTTCAACTGATAGGGAGCAAAATAACCATTATATTCATTTGCCGACAGAAAAAAGGAAAGCAAGGGCTAAGGCAACAAAAGATGCCCAAAGTTGTTTTACCACAGATTTTATTACCTTGAAAACCAGCAAAGCTGAGGACAAAGTCTCTGTACAAGTGTAAAGTGGCCCATAAAAATCATCACTGGCTGCCAAACTCCTATCCTCACAATGAGAATTCAGCAATGACATGTGAGGTACTCACAGCACCATAGTCTCAGCCATCATGCAAAAAGACCATGATGAACTAGAGAAAACAACAGACCAATAGAGAAGTCCCTTACAAGGGATGAACTTCCAGATACTTAGCAGTTTAGCCTTGCATTAATTTAAGCAGCACAGGCAGTAGTGTTTCTCTTATTATTTCCTTACATGTGAAATTTAGCAAACAGTTATCATGCATGCAACACAACTATCCATACAGAAACTAGCCTTCAAGGACACGACTCACCACTGACCTAAATGCCACGTTCAAAATTTCACTTCCCTACTTTACTTAAACCAAATGGCACAGTGGGGTATTACAAATTCCACACATTCAGAAATAAATCTTTTTTTCCTCTTACCTGCTTCTTCAGAGAAGGGGCTAAGTTGAGTGTAGCCACAGTGTTTCCTCTTGTCTTTACTGAAGATGCTGTCTATATTCAGAGACTCTCTTTTGGGTTTCCAGGTTGGCCGATACCTGCTAGATGAACTGGATTTAGATCCACTACTGGTACTCTCCACTTCCCAATCTCGAGAGTGTGCATACAGGCTTTTTGAGGGTCGTGTTTCTGTTTGATCCACACTACTCCCTCCACGAGGGGAATTATGGATGGTCTGAGAAATCTGCTGTGGTCTGCTGTGGATCATATTGCTCACTGTCTCTTTAAACTCCCTCAGCCTGCTTGTGCTGCTGGATGGTTTGGGGGCAGTTCTGGGGGCTTGTTTCTCCTTCAAGGTTTCTCCTGCAGTTTAGAGAGACAGCAAATGCCACAAAAATAACTTCAGATTAAACTAGCAGCATCTTCAGCAGATTTTGGAAAGGAAAAACCAAAACAACCCCACATCCCCAGTGCAATAAAAAAAACCCTCAGCCAACCAACACCCCCCAAACAAACAAACAAAACAAGCAGAGACAGGACAAAATACAGAGAAGTAACAAACAAGGAGGGAAATGCATTCATCTTAAAAACATGCATAAGGAGATACTGGTATCTAAAAATAAAATAGCATCTCTTGCCTTCACTATGGTATCCTGATGACTGAGCCTCATCTCCTTTTCGCCGGGAACGGCTAGAACTCCTCTTGCGGTCTGCCAGTGAGCCCTTTTTGGAAACATGCCTCTGATTGCACTCACTGTCAGTCAGGTGCCCTGGAAGGACAGAAGAACACAACAGAGATGACAAGAGCCTTTGGACTGAGTGTTCTGTGCATTAACAGCGGCAGGGCTTTCCTGCTCCTTAGAAACTGCAGACATTCCAATGCTAACTGGCAAGTATGGGTTAATTTCTGTATCCAAAAGTTTTTGGTTTTGTATGGGGGGCGTGTTCAGTTTTTAAGGTCATAAAAGATAAATACAGCCCCTCCAAGGATAATTAACCAGCTCCCGTCTGGTTAATGACAGCTCATCCACAGGGAGAGGAAAAAGCTGACTCTGATTTGTCTTCTAGCGTAAGGACACCACTTCTCTTGCTGCCTTTCTCAGTTTTAGCAGCCACAAACACAGAACTCCTGACAACAGCTTGCTTGACATTGCTCTGTTGAATAAAGACTCAAACACATGAACGAATCACCGTTTAATAATAAATTACTGCACATCATCAGCTGCTCTGCACTATTTATCTACACTCCCTTTGCCTGTAGCAAATACTAGGTAATACGAGTTATCTTACTCTACATTGAAGAAGCCTCAGTTGGCTCTCAAGGGTAAGCCATCTAATCTGCATTTGTCACAAGCTAAGAGCGTACACACGAACCATCAACACTGATCAGCTGACACACGATAACATTCCTTTACTACAGCTCACGTGTCTGAGTGCTAGTATTTTCTCTTGCACACAATTTATTCCCCATTTCCTCACATCAAATGTAAATTAACAGTATTTGACATCACAAGTTCTCTATTCTCTTTTAATTTTATGGTTCTCACACATTCACAGACCTAAACCTGTAAGCACAAACACACGCATGGCTTTACTCACGTGAGTAGTCCCAAGCAGAGATGCGGGATAAGAAGGGAATTTATGAATAAGCTACAAAGACTTCTTTCTAGCCTTTATACTACCAATTTTCACCTTGCATAGGATGATAGGAAAGGGAAGTCCCTACTACCCAAAAGTGAATTAACAGCCCTGAGACTATAGAGCTGGCTGTTCTGAGCCTTCCCCCTTCTTTAAAAAATTAACATAAAAAATTAACAACATTTAAAACAGATTTTACACATTAAAATGTACTTCCAACAGCTGAAAAAAAATAATTCGCTTCAACTACAATTGCTACAGAGATACTACAATATATGAATGGGAAGGAATCCGAACAACAAAAAGCAAGCTACCCAAGACTCGCATTTCTATTCATTTGCGAAATGGAAAGTGATTCTGTAGCCAAATTCTTTAGAAACAAGAAAATTACATAAAAGAAATTAAGTAAGTCAAAGAGAAATGTTGGCAGTGAAGACAGAAGATGTGCGGCATTTAGGTGAGCATAGGTCAGTGCTTTGGGAGTATTTTTTTCTTCCTTTACAGCATGGACTCATACATCTTTCAGGGACTGAAAGAAACGTATTATCTTAGAGCTTCTAGTGGCTCCCCTCAAGACAGAAGAGGCTTATGCTTCATTTCAAGGTGTACAACTTCTCTAGTTCAACATTTTTCCCCACAAGCTGGTAGGGAGTGCTTCATTAGAATCCTTCCAGTACTTCAACAGAAACTATTTAAAGGCTGCTAGCTTTGCATAAATATTTTCTTCTCCTTTCATAAACTGCAAATTTTGTTCTATTGTCACTGGACATTTAATAGCCATGGAAGACATGCCTACAGTCCAAAAGTCTGCAGGACCAGGCTTTGTTGTCTGTACACGTATCCTCTGGAACAAATGCACGGTTATAGGAATTGCAATACCAAGAATATATGTTAACACTTTACACTTATTTTTTTTAATCCACTAAAATAACAAGCCAGGATTTCTGTCTGTGTACCCAGTCATATGCTTAAAAGGTGTCCCTTGCTGCATGTATCACCTAAACGCCTCATCCTCCAGAGATGGGATGGCTTCATAAGCAAACAGCGATACTCAAAGGAAAAGTCTGGGGGTTTGTAGGGGTTGTGAGCATGTCTAAGAATATGTTAGAGAAGAGAATGAAATCAAATGGGTTAAGACAGAACACCCCCTACTCCCTCCCACTGTAATCTCAGTTGCATGAATAGGGCAGCCAGAATACGCACATTTTTCTCAGCAGCACAGGTTGGCAGGAACAAGAGAGGGCTTATGCAGCCACTCTTCATGCCCCCATTCTGAAGTAACCGGGTGCCTGAGGTCATACAACCCAATGGTGGTCCTTCCCTGGAGGACGATGTGGGATAGAGTCCATAATTTTCTGGGCTGGAGTAGTGGGTAAATGGCCATTAAATGAAGAATCCTGCTCTTGCCCAGAATGAGTCAGTTGACAGGTCAATGTGGATGGCTTCTTTATAGCCCCACGGATCAGCATTTGGTGACTGAGCAGTTGTATCAGTTGGCAGACTGACTTTTTTGGAAAGGTTTTGGGTAGGTAAAAAAAGGGGGAAATGCCCAGACAGGTGACTAGCTAAGGGGGCAGGCTGACTATAGCTAAAGCTGAATCAGGGAGGATGAGGACAACTGAATTAGGTAGAGAGACAGGCTAAGCTGAAGGGAATAACACAGGATAGAAGCAGTAGGAGAAGAAAGAAAAAGAAAAGGAGAAAGTCACTAAAAATGACATAACAAAAGGTTACATGCTGAACTTCATGCTTGAATGTTTGCAACCATCCCCCTACCCTACTTTTCTGCTAACTTCTGCATGGCAAGTTTTGCGAAGGTCTAATCAAATAAACTCTGTGCCAGTTGTGGACTATATAAACAATATTCCACTAAGACTTTCAATTTTGTCTCCTCATCACTCAAATTCTGCTCTAACTTTTACTTCTTTCTCACACTCTACCTAGGACTCTGACTGGGACATACTGTAAAGTATTTGCCAAAACAATGGAAGTACTGTCTAGCTATTTAAAAACACATATTACATTTACTTGGACCTCTGATGAAGAATCAAAAAGTACTGAAGAAAATTAACTTGAAATATTTTTCCACATTTTAGATGTGAAATGTATTTGTATCACAGAGTCTTTCAAATGAACCAAATATGCATATATAGTCACAATGCAAGAGAGAACTACTCTGCAACTAAAAGGACAAAGTGGTATAATCTCTGTTGACACACCGGTGCAACAAACAGTTGATTCAACTCTAATATAGTCTTAGAAAGTCTACTTAAAGCACAGTAAAGTAACTTTTCAAACAGACTTAGCAAATCATATTTCTGATGATTAAGAAGTCTGACTTTAACTCATGCACTACTTTTTCACAAGTCATGTCAGAGTTACTATATGCAGAAACAGGCTGGCTAGGGTCACTGGGCCTGAGAAATGGAGACAATCTAAGCCTTCAGACTTCCAGCTAACCTCTTTTCAACTAAAAAGTGTTCAGCTGCCTGAAGGAATATATATATATATATATATATATATATAGGCTTCTCACTGCAGATTCTCACTTGCTTCCATAGCAGAGGCAGGAAATCATCCTATGCTCTTTCCTGGTGCTGTAAATATTACTGCCAACACCCACTTACACAGAAAGTCCTTAGTCCCAAAGTACGAGATTCTGGTGATGAAAACGCCTTTCCCAGACAGCTGTCGCTCCTGAAATGAAGTAACTGCCCGCAGATGAGCAAGTGGCACACACAGCACTTACCAAAACATATAATGGCACTGCACAAACTTAGAGAAGTATGTAACAAAAACAGTAGGTACGACTGTGGATAGCGGAATAATATGCCTGTAACTGTTTGTCTGGCTAGATAGAAGTCTACAAAAGCCAACAAGACATTTAAAATCATGCTTATTTTTTTGTGAATGCTAATGGTTCGTTACAAACCAAAAACATTTAGGATACTAAATTGGTCACCATTCCCTTATAGGTTGTATATAGAGGCATTTTCCTCTGGAATCCAGTGCAATCATATTTAATGACAATCACACAGATACAACAGTATATGCTACCTGTGTCTCTGCTGCTTTGTGAAGCTGCATCATTATCCACATTGTAGATGACTGTCCCCTGAGAGTCAGAGGAGAAATGACTGACCACAGACTCGTGGTGTGCCTGTTTATAAGGATAGCTGTCTGTAGAAGAATCTGTCCTGGTATCACTTGATATGGAAGGTTCTCTCCCTAGGGAATGAAGCAATGTCAAATTTCAATCTTTTTGGGCTATTATTAAAGTCAGAAAAGGCTAAAAAAAGAAAACAGAGGAAACTGCATAAAATTTAACAGAAAAACAGAGTACCAAACATAAAAACTTATATTCAAGGATGCCAAAGCTTACAGGAAAGGTCCCCTCCTTCTGAAGGGGAAAGAGATAGTCATTCCTTCTGCAAACCTTTATTTCATTCTCTCAGGTAACTCCAGATTTATCAAATCCTTTTATTACACAAAATAAAACTATGTCTATTGGACTGAAAGTACACATTAGCACCACACAAATTATTCTTCACTAATTTTCAACAGTGTCAAGCGTAATTAAAATATAAAATACACTGCTTCAGGGGAAATAAAATTAATAAAGTACAAAATGTTAGTACGGGTAACAAGAACATAACAAGTTATAATAATTAGCACATTTAATCTACTATGAAACAAATGCTTACCTAGCAAAACTTTATACTGAAATTGTATTATCTAAAGCAAAGTAACCTGTTGCTTCTCGAGAAGCTAGCATTGATCCCCTGCACAAGTCAGGTACTGAAATGATTCAAATTCACTACAGTTACTCCTAAGCTCATTCAAACGAGAGGAAAAGACAACCTCCTCCCACCACTTTCAGTCCATAAAAGTAAAAATCTGAACACAATTTGAAGACAGTTGGCCATTTTATAAATGTGATGTATACACTCTTGAATATACAAAATATTCATTTCATACTTGTTTCTCACTGGAGAAGATAAAGAAGAAATAAATAAATTCAAGAAGAAAGTCATTCTTATGTTTAATTGCAAACTCAGCCTGAGGGCACTTCATGGTTTTGCTAAAAGCAAACTGTGTAGCTGATGTCCTATTTAAGGATGGCCAACAAACTCTGAAGTCAGAACTTCCCCCACCTCCTCATAGATAAAAAATACCACTGTCTAAAGAAGTATAGAATACAGCTATTAATGGAATTGACAGTTGCAGAAAGATGAATTTAGGCAACAGAAATCAGTGCTGTGGAACTGAGTACTATAAAACAATTTGCAAACTGAAGTCTTTATTCAAGAGAAAATCAAAAACATTAACAGGAGCTGTTAGCACTTAGCTTCACAACATTTCATAGCAGCATTTGACAATCTTTCCTCCATAATTTGCAGTATCGGATACTGATATGAGTAGAGGCATTTTTCAGATTCCCTTGACAAAATTTCAGGTACAATATTGTCATTAACAGCTTAAGAATAAGCAGTCTCTGCTCGTTTCTGAATTATAAACTGTGGATATATAATAACACTAGGGAATCCAGAAGCAGCTGTAGTTACACTTAATGAGATACAAGCAGGCCACCTGGAAAAGGTGTATTAGGATAGAAAACCCTGGGTATCACCAAGGCTAGAAAATAATTCTATTTGAAAGGAAAATGTATAGGGTATGGTTTTCCCCTGGCACTTCAACCTACAGTAGCTCATAAATTCTCTCAAAATCAGTGCTGAACACTGCAGACTACAAGAATAAGCCTTGAGGACACACCAAATGTTTCTGAAACACCAGAGCAGGTTACTCGCTATAGCCTTATGAATTTTATCTGAAAGAAAACACCTTTAAATATATATATTTGTATTCAGCTTCCTGAAGTAATTTTAGAATACAACAGTATTAGATACTGCAGAGACAATGAGTAGAAGGGTTATCTATGTATTTCCTGGAAATCAATCAGCAGAACTACAAGGCAAATTTACAGCGTATATTGATCTGAAGCTTGTAGAAATGCTCACAAATGACAGGGAGCACCACTCTCCCTCCTTCAAACTTCCTTTTTTGTTTATTTATTTGTTTGTTTGTTTGGAACAGGAAGACAGATTTATAAATTGTGATGCATCTTGTCAAGTAAGAAGTGAAGGTCATCTTACCACTGGTTTTATTTGCGTTTAAGAAGAGTTGGGAGATTTATTTCATCACCAGTAGATTGTCAACACATAAATAAGGAGACAGCAAATGTTCTCTACAGATTCACTGATGAGTAAGTATAAAGTTAGCTGTTGGCCAGGAAAACTGTAAAAGATTCTTGGAATTACAGTTGTATAAATAGGCTAAAATCCTGTAAGAAAGGTTGCATTTTTGGTTTTAGTCTCGACCTTGATGTGCTTGGCAGCTTAAAAACACATCTGTAATTCAGTCTATTCTCTGCAAACATCCAAAACCAGAAACAACCTTCTTTCGCAAAGCCATTAAACATAAACTGGGTGAAAACAAGAGCTGGATCTATCTGAATTGAAACTGCGTATCTCTCTCAGAATTTACCTATTCTTCTTTAAGTGAGGCCTCAACTGGTGTGACTAAATGTCTGCAGTTATCCAGAACAACAGCCTGTTCAGATCACTACTGGTATCTTGAGCAGAGCAAGTTCTAACCTCTGAAGCACTTTATTTGGACATACCCGATTCAATAGACTATCAGGAATACAAAGAATTCAGAAAGTAGCAATGTGTTGAAGGCCTCCGAGATGTTAAGTGCTACGTATCTATTGTTGCAGATCTATTTTAATGCAAAACCATGAAAAATGAAGAAGCAAACATGATCTATGCATATAAGCCTTTGCCAATACCTTCCCCTTCAGTCTCCACGAATTGGTTTTTGTTTTAGCTCCTTTCTCCAAACCTTTCTGGAAAAGATTGCTACCGAAACAATAAATAGTCTTGGAAAGAGAGAGGTTCAAAGTTGAAACGCTAGATGTCCTCTTCAGAATTCTAGATCAGCTTTGACAAGCAATAAGAACCCCTGCTAACAAAACCACATCCAAACCCAAAGAATTCACATGCAGCATTACGGCATAAAGGTATAAGGCATATACTGCTTACCTGAGTCTTCACTATCATAGCAAGTCCTGCTATATTGCTGTAAATCCACCTGAGGGGGCAAGTCTTGTGTTGACACTGGAGTTCCTCTTGGATCTGCATACAGCAGCAGCAAAGGCTGATAGTGACCTTTAATGCACTTTGTCACAACATCTTTCCATTTTGGACCAATCTGAATTCACAACAATAAAAGAATAAACAAAAATGTAATAAGCTCTGTTCAGCCCCCATCATACTTCTTTCAGAGTTTTATTTTCTTCCTCTGACATTTTTTAACTCTTTCTATCTGCAATATTGAACTGGACTCTCCAAGAAAGGTCTGGAACCAACTTAACTAAAATCAAGGTATTCACCACCTTATGGCTGAACGCATTACAATTCCTAATAAAACATGACTAGAAAAATAATCCTTCCCTTTCAGATTTCTGCCCCAATAAAAAGCTTTTCATCCTCAAAAATGTTTTTAAACAAGTAAAAAAAAATTTGTTAAAATATCTTAATCCATAAAAACATGAATAACAAAATACATCAACAGCATGACAGCAGATTCAAGTCAAAGCTAACCATTTTGGTGTATTTCTGTTGTTACAGAACCTCTGCAAGCATTTTGACAGGCCAGAGAATATTTCATATAGTTATACAAATATCAAAAGCAATCCAAATGCACTAATACAGGTTTCACCTAACACACTGAATATCTATTCCAACAGATTTACACCATGCATGAGTATTCTGCTAAAGCACTGTGCTATCTATCTTTGTTTTGCTGCAGAGAAATGTGACTGAACAAATGCAAGGATTAGAGCTTTTCCTTTGAGACTGAGCTTGGCATGACTACAGGACAAAATTTTCCTCTCTCATCTTTATGCTTCCATGACTTGAAGAAAAAAAAGGGCAGTGGTGTGAAATAATGTCAAACAAACTAATGGGATGTAATAACAGTGTGCCAAGATTCCAGTACTGGTATCTTTAATGCCAAGGGACTCATGCTTAGTGAAAAGGGGACAAAAAAGCACTAACAGAAACAGAAAAATTGTTGGCAACAACCACTAGGGAAGACTGGCATCAAGATACTTCAACAAAGAATCCAAAAAGCAGGCACCAAACAGCTATACTGCTTGTCAGCAAGAGAGAGATGTATGTTAGCTGTGTGCGCAAGCAAACTGTAGGATTTCAAAAAACAGCATAAAAGCAAGACAGGCAGCCAACACAATACAACTAAGAATAGGGCTTCTGAGACTACTGATACTCTTTTTTCAGAATGCTTTACTTTGCTCAGAAAAAGGCGCAACAGAGTCCAGGATATTGAGTGGAAAAACATCCAAACTTCCTTGAAATCTGTAGAAAGCAGTATGGATATACACACGGGCAGCTTATTCTGAACATTAATTTCTCACCTCTTTGACATGAGCATCATCAAAGTACATCCACTTGCGGATTTTAGTTTGGAAGAAGAATGTAGAATAGTGTTTTCCATAGTAACAGATCATTCCCACCAAATACAGCTCCGAGTGTTTTGCTCTGTCATCAGTTACTCTGAAGAAGAGCTTCAAGAAGGGAGTTAATAAAAGTGAAAGAAGAAATCAATAAAATGCCCAGAATTTTACATACCGTTATGTTTGAAGACCTCCAAGTACTATAAAGAGGTGCCAGGTTTTTACTTTAACGATCAGGAAAGTAAAGTAAGTAATGTAAGTAAGTAATGATCAGGCAGTAAATACTTAAGTAATTAACCAATGTTTAAGCAAGCCCAGTGACACAGACTAGGAACAGACGCCTACCACCTCAAGAGATTCTCAAAATTCAAGTCAGCCTGGGAGACTGTGGCTGCACTTTAAAGAAGACATTTACAACAATAATAGAATACCTCTTCGGTATCTGGGGTGTCATTCTATTCTGAAAATCTGTATTCTCTGTGTCACGCTGCCTGATTATATCAAATATTGTTAAAACATTCATTCCTCTTTGTTTTGTAGAAACAAAGCTTTTCTGACAGTGAAGAGCTGACATTTATTCTGACTTAGGCTAAGACAAATTCATGACAACACCACATAAAAGATAAACTGAATACATTTGTAGATCAAAAGAAGTCAGCACACAGAGAAAAACTATTTTCTATTTAGTTGACCATGTGTTATTTAAAAATGCACAGGACTCATTTTCTAGTGCGTTATTGCTTTACTGTGCAAGGACCACAATGTTTCATAACCACATTTCCGTTAACTTGCACTAATTTTGGTACACTGTGCACTGGCAATGCATTTTTTTAAATGTATGTGTGGGTAGATATATTTAATTATTTTAATGTAATAGTTCAACACTACAGTGAGACACAGCTACAATTTGTTATACCAATAGTTCAGCTCTAAAGCATCAGCTAATGTAGAATAAGTGAATCCTTTAGGGCACAAACCTCCAGATACCAAACACTCTCAATTTAATCTATCTTTCAATCACACAGTGCTAGCCACCATCTCTCAGATTGCTCCGTTATAAATAGCTCTTAAGTGTTATGAGCACATACTTCAATGAAAAGGATTTAAAGAAGCACAAAAAAAAAAAAAACAACCATGCCAAACAACTGAAACTACCAACAAACCCAGACAACCCCGATCTTTCAAAAGAAACAGAAACAAACTCCTGATATTCAAATGAAAGCTTACATATGTATTTTCATAGAAATAGCACAAACCCCAATAAAGTTTCCTTCCACTTGATTTTTATATTTTTTATTCAGCCAAGCTTTGTTTTGTGGAGTAATTTTTAATTTTCAGCAAGTTCAGGAATTCAAGAAATATGCAATTACATTAGTATTTTCAGAAGGTTGTGATTCACTGAGAAACAGTTTAGATCCTTCAAACTGCTTTCTACTCCCCTATCTATAGACAATGAAAAGGTAAAGGCAGTGACATTTTACTTTTCTCAATCTGCTACTATAGACTACCATGAGAAAGACTGTGTCTGTAAGTAGTGTCAAAATAGAAAAACACTCACATCTCCCAGTTTAAGGCAAGTGCCCAGACTGTGAATCACATCCTCAGCCAGGTCAGAGTGGTCAGAGTCCCAGACTAAGCCAATGGTGATGATCTGTGGAGAGTTCATCAGCACACGACGAATACGGATCTTTTCCCCGCAGTTACTCTGAGGATTTAAATAAAACAAAACATTAAATATAATCCTCCTATTATTATAATGTTAGGGCAAGGCACTAACAAGTATAAGTTTCAAAAGTGCAGCTTCCAGAGGTGGTGGTGAAACAAAGCGGATAATACGCTCAGTGTCAAGATAACGAGTTTCTTATGTCACAGATGAGGAGCATTAGCAAGACTATCTCGTATTTTCATGTTTTAAAGTAAACATTGCTGATTCTTTTCATACTGCTAATAATGATTAAAAGGCATAGTGCAAAAGCAGGCTTCTGTAAAAAGAGATAAACCAGCATACATGAAAGAGTCTAAAAACATCCTTAGGAATTGGAGGGAAAGCTCACTTTCTTTGGATCAGAATCTCAGATTAAAAACTGTATTTACAGAGACTGATGCTTTCTACTACAGCGCCAAAAAAACATTCAGGTGCTGCTTTGCTGTAAAAATTGGCTGCTGTTTTACAAGGTACTCAGAATAGTTAGACCCATATTCATATAAATGTGAGAGCAGATGGAAGATCTGGACGGCATCTTTAAAGCAACATGAAAAAAGTGTGCTATCTGAACTAATAACTATCACTTAACTTTAGTAAAAAGTGCTTTACCTCATTTTAGGGTGACAGGGATGACAACAGGGATGGGACATGGTGGGACAAGACAACACCTGTGACAAAGTCTCTTTGCAACGCTCATTTTTGCCCTATGGCAGGTCACAAAGGTACCTCTGCAAAATTCCAGGAAAAAAAACAAAAACCCAAAACCAAGCCAACAAACAAACCCAAAAAACCCAAAGCAACCAAAACATTTTAATACTAAGAACAGTTTCTCATCTTTACAGAGAGACCAGTTTCACAACTGAGTATAATCATTTCTGACACTACAACCAGGGAAGAGATCATAAAGCGTTTCTTCCCCACAGCAGTCTAGAAAATTATCCAGAATTTCAGTCCCAATTATCAGACAGAAACAAATGAGATTAACAACATGGGGCTGAAAGACAGATATTTTTACAGGCAGAGGACGATGATATTTTGTCCTGGGTTCAGCAGTAGCAGTCATTTTTCTCCTTCTTAGTAGCTGGTGCAGTGCTGTGCTTTTTACTTTCAGCCTGGGAACAGTGCTGATAACACCAATGTTTTCAGTTGCCGCTTAGTAATGACCAAGGACTTTCTGAGTTTCATGCTTTGCAGGGAGGAGGGGAAGCCGGGAGGAAGCAGAGACAAGACACCTGACCCAAACCAACCAAAGAGGTATTCCATACCATAGCACGTCATGCCCACTATATAAACTGAGGTCAGTTTCCCGGAAGGGCTAGATCACTGCTCGGTCGGGCTGGCTATCAGTCGGCAGGTGGTAAGTGGTTGTATTCTCTTCCCTTGTTATTTCTCTTATCATTATTATTATTGGTGGTAGCAGCAGTGGTTTGTGTTATACCTTAGTTACTGGACTGTTCTTATCTCAACCCGTAGGAGTTATATTCTTTTGACTCTCCTCCCCATCCCTCTGGGAGCGGGGGGGGAAGAAGAAGGCAAAGTGAGCAAACAGCTGCGTGGTTTCTGAGTAACAGGCTGGGCTTAAACCACGACATGTTTAAATGTAGATTATCAGGCTCTAATATTGAGGTGCCTATATTCACATGTATTTTGCAAGGGTCATTCAAAGTACAAGCATTCTCCTGTGGATTACCACAACAAACCTATCTCACTCTTAAATTGTCTTCTTTCCTTCAGCTAACTAACATCATCATTTTCTGCAAGACAGGAGGAATATGGCATCCTGATAAAAGTTTCCCTTGTGTGACTTTTAGGCCATCCTTAGCTAAGCCTCAAAAGAAAAAATCCCAAATAGAAAAAGAAAGGGGCAGCAAGTAGTAAGCAATTTTATCCCACTGATTATTTCACAGTTAAATAGCAGTTCAACCTGACAAAGAATGTCTATTAAATTTCCCACGCCTTAGTTACTAAATAGCTGGACTCATATGAATCTTTTAGACAACAACACAATACCTTTGTTTCTTGTACTCAGATGAGCCACTATTCGCCAATATTCCAAAAACCAAAATAATGTTTTGATGGAGACTAAGAGTGAAAGTTTCAGAGTTACACATTACAGAACATGGGGGGATAAAATGGAAATACACTGCCCCCAGGGAACATATACACAAACCATTCCTGTTAGAGCCTGTATTGCTTCACTGAGGACTGGTGAGGCATCTAACATTAGCATTATATGAAGCAGCAATTATACATCTGTTTCCTGCCCTACCTATTAATCAATAGGTGAAAAAGTGTGATGATATCTCTTCTTGCATACTTACCTGCAGCCCTGGATCTGGACATACACAAAAGGCAGAACAAGATACCAAACTCCTCTTTTTGAAATTGAGCCCTTACAATTTAAAGAAAAAAAAAAATGTATTTACATGAAGCTTTTATAGACTTAATTCAGCTGAATTTTGTCAAGATTTTTACTGCATAGCAGAATGGAACATTTTTAAGAATAACAGCCTCTGACTATCAACTGGACATATGTGGTAATTGTTTTTAAGTGGTTAAATGCCAGTCATCACTCACAACTTAGCCTACAAATTCTGGTCAGCTTCTCCCACATTCCTCACTGAAAAACAAGCCAATACTCCCTCAGACTTTCTGTGATAATTCCTGCCTTTGGCACAACGCTTGCAGATATACTGTGTAGTCTATAAACTTTTCATTGTCAGGATACTCTCTGGCAGTGGGAAGCAGCAGTCCTTTTCTCTTTCCTTTCACTCTGATCAACATTTTGGCTGTAAGCTGCAGGTTTAGCAGTTTGGCCAACAGATAAGTTTATTCCAACTAAGAGGTAGTAAGGAAGTTGGATGGAAGCTTATCTAAGCAAAACTACTGATTTCGTACACATGATTAGTAACTGATGCAAAAGTTCTGTATGTGCTACTGAAGTTCTGCAGGTACTACTGAAAACATTGTATCATAATTAATCCTTTCTCATGCTATTATCATAGAGGAAGCACACTAGCCTCAAAGGAAACAATCGTTACAGAAACTGGGTGAACTGTGGAAAACACTGTTCTAAAAAGCTTAGCCAATCAAAACCACCTTAACTTACAGACATTTCCTACAAAGACAGCCTCCAAATTCTTTGCCATTTCCATTTCTTTAGGTAAGATACCAGAAATTTCAACATAAGATGAAAGCAGCATGATTGCAGCTTCATGTAATCCTACCGCTGGAGGCCTCAACAACTCTCAGTGAAGCTGAACAGCAAACATGGTAAGAACTTCTAGCAGAAACAGACGTGAACAGGAATGGATTGTGTGGCCATTCCTTGAGAGGAACATAAGTATTCCCTATTTATTCCCCCTCACCACCTTTTTTTTATTGTTTCTAACTCTCTGACACATTCATTTGTAGTTTCCAGCCAAAACCCTCAGAAGCATTAATTTTTACTTTCCACACTATTTCTTCTCTTCTCACTACTTCATCTAGTCAAAGAAGCACTCAACATGTGAGAGGTTAAGTGAGAGGTACTGAATTCAAACACCAAGAAAACTCTCTTTATCATGATGAGCTGAACCTTGAAAATGCTTACATTAAAAGTACACACCAGTGTGTACCCTTTTTGTCTTTTTGTACCCTTCTCCTCCCCCGTCCCCCCAAGGAAAATTAAGGATACTAACTGGACAATTTCGTAGGTCTCCCATTGTGCTGGCATTCTGTAGTAGCTCTCCAAACATATCTGGAGTGGGTTTCTCTCGTCTCTCCAGCATACAAATAGCTTGATTGCTTCAGTATAAAGAAAGCCAAGGGGAAAAAAAAGTTAAATAACAAAATAAAAGCACAAACCCACATTAAGGAAGTATATGTTTCACTTAAATTTTATTAAAAGAGCCTTAAAACTACACAACTTTTTTACATTTAATATTATAGTATAGAAAAAACACATAATTATTCAGTGATTTACTACATCCTCCATGACAATATTGCATAAAGAAAACAACTATAACTTAAAATAGAAACAGCTTGTAGTTTGGCTTAAAATTTACATCTTAAAAGCCAACTTCAGGCTTTTTTATTTATATTGATAAATACTTGGTTTCAAAATGAAGTATTTGCCTCATAATGAAGTATTTGCCTCATAATACTTCCCTTCAGTAACCCTAGTAAAGTAGCACAGTAAAGCGCATCCTTAATAATAAAGCTATAGACAAAAATAGCATGATACTCAACTAATTTCAACTGTCCAAGTTGAAAGATGACAGTAAGTACGCAAGAACATTAGTGCTCAAAGCATGTTCAACCTTAAAATGCTTTAAGTAAATATATTACTTTTTATTGATGATTTTAAAATATCTTGTGACTTAGATTTGAGATATTTAATATAAAATACTGAATACCATTTACACTACTTTATTCCTGGCCTGAAAACATACTATTTATGTTTTTATAATAAATAATATTCTGAACACCCAGTGTCTGTTGATGACCTAAAGGAAAACTTCAGTTCGACGGAACAGCAGGTAGCAGCCATAAGGGGGAATGCTTTACAAGTGCTTTACAGCACTTATAAAATGGTAGTTTTTAACAGATCTGCATGAGAAGAGCAGCTAGCAGTTTTCAAGACATTTTTGGGGGGCTCTGTAAATACACACCTCACACAAGAGAAGTTTTCACCCAATCAAAATTTCAAGACAAAAGCAAATCAGACTCCTACCTCCATCAGATTTAAGCAGCTTGTAACTGAGCAGCAATCTACTAAAAGAAGCCTAGAGCTAGAGCTATTGCTCTGTGCACAATAGAATAGTTAGGGCTGGAAAGGACCTTAAGTTCCAAACCCAATGCCATGGGCAGGGATGCCTCACCCTAGACCATCTCCTTTAATGAAAGGTTATCGTGACCAGGGGAATTCCCCAATAACTAGAGAAAGCAGGAGCTACATATCCATCTAAGAAAGAGGGTTTGAGGAACTACAGGCTGGTGACAGTACCTGGGGTGATGACAGATCAAAACCCCCTTGGATATCAACTCCAGGCATATGAAGGACAAGAAAGTACATCTGAGCAGGCAGCAATGATTTACCAAGGGCAAAATACGCTTGACCTACATGATTATCTCCTGTCATAAAACAATGGGTTCTGCTGAGGAAGTGAGAGCAGTTAATATCATTTGGTCTGTAGGAAGTTTTCCAATCACCTACTGCATTCTTTTGGCCAAACTGGGAGGTGTGGGCTGCCTGAGTAGAATACAGCTGGACCTTCAGGCTCAGAGGACCAAACATAACCAGCAGTGAGTCAAGAGCTGTGGTTCCTCAAGGGTTAATACTGGGGCTGATGCTATTTAACATTTTCATTAACAACCTGGATGATGAATCAGAATACACCCACATCAGGTTTACAGATGACATCAAACTGGAGCAGTCAATATACAGAAAATGAGTGCTGCCACCCAGAAAGTTCTTGACAGATTGGAGGAATGAGTTGATAGGAATCTCATGAAATTCATTGAAGGAAAATAAAAAAAGTCTTGCACTTCAGATGGAGCACACCTGGTGCAGCAGTACTGGCTGGGCACTGAACAGCAAGGGAGCAACACTGCAGAAAGCTGAAGGACAAGCTGAACATAAGCCAGACGCGTTGCAGAAGCGATCAGAGAAAGGACAAGAACTAAAAGACGCAGAAAGGGAAATTCTGACTGGATATAAGAAAAAATTCACACTGTGTCATTAAGCACTGGAAGAAGCAGCCCAGAGAAGTCAAGGAATTTCTATCCTTGAATGTTTTCCAAACTCAGCACAAAACCCCAGTCAGCCTCATCTAGCCTTGAAGTTAGCACTGCTTTGAACAGGACGATGGAGTAGATGTACAAAGGTCCTTTTCAGAGTAGTTCTTTTTTTATCTTTCTTAACTCACCTGCTCACATATTAATGTTTTTCAAAACATACACGATGAGACCTTGCCCCCACAGCTGTCAGATTCAGAATCACAAACAAGAAGACCAAACAAGAAGACACACTGATCCATGCCTAAAGTAGTATCTTCTGCTCCACTAAATCCTCATGTTCTTTATCACAGTTATCAAAGCTCCACCAACTTTAATCAAACCATGTTCTGCAGATTTAATCTTGTGAAGGAAAAGCTCAAAATGCAATACCAGTTTAAAAATAAACAAACAAAAAACACCACCACAAACACACACACACAAAAAAAGGGACACATACACACACACACATTCTCTTCCTTTTAATAATTTCAACTCACCAGAGTGAGGTTGTGGAAATATAGTGTACCATCTGGATGAAAGGTAGTGGGTCAGATGTGGCACCACAGCTGGTACAAACACACTAAAGAAAAAGAAAATGTGATACATTGACAAGATTAAGCAGGTATTTTCATAGCAGCATTTCTGCTTGTATTTTTTTTTATCATGGCAATGCATGCCTTACAAATGAAAATTTGAAACTGGAGAACTTGTGATTGGTATAACACATTATCATTACCTCACCTGTTCAAACAAGGTCATTGCAAACTTCTGATGGGAAACGCAATGTGATGCAGTGCAAATATCTTCCTTTGTCTCATCTGCAATGTGGAAGTGAATTCGCATTAACAGGTTTTCCTAACCAAAGAGAGAAGCAAAAAAAAAGCATTAGATCATTTCAAATGTAAACAAAATTTAAAATGTAAATCACAAAAGTATGTCAGATGTAGTGATGTTGTAAGCATTATTTATGGAGATAGAAGGTTCCCACAAATTTTCGAATGTCGCTTACACAACACAAGTTAGCGTATCTTTGATATAAAAGAAAACAGCTACCACTTCTGATTTGCAATGCTGTGTCAGGTTAATCATTTATTTCCTAGCACAGCTAAAGATTTGTTACTGCTTATTCTACCCAATTCTTAAGTACCAATGGATTTGACAAATACAACAGGAAGAGCAGGTCTGCAATTTTAAAATCGCTGCATTTCCACTAACTTCTGCTCATCACCACAAAGTAACCTGAATCAAGTTCTACATTCCCCAAGGACTTTGAAATATGGCAAATAAGCTACATTCTATCAAAAAGGGGGAGAACTAATAAACGACGGGGCAGACTAAAATCTGCATGAAATAAAAGCACTGACATTTTCTAGATACTATTTCAGACAAATCCATATTGTTTTCAAGTTCCCAGAAGTTCTTGTACTCTCCTACCACTGTTGCCAACATTAAGCTGGGGGTGACAAAAGTATACTGATGCCTCTTCCAGAAGCACACCTTTCACTATCACTATGAGCTGCCTGGATGGTTTCTAGGCCTGCAATAAACAGATCAAGATTAATTCTTAGGCAAAATATATCACAGAATAGTTAGGGTTGGAAAGGACCTTAAGATCATCTAGTTCCAACTCCCCTGCCATGGGCAGGCACACCTCACACTAAACCATGTCACCCAAGGCTCTATCCAACACGGCCTTGAATACCACCAGGGATGGAGCATTCACAACTTCCTTGGGAATCCCATTCCAGTGCCTCACAACCCTCACAATAAAGAACTTCCTCCTTATATCTAATCTAAACTTCCCCTGTTTAAGTTTGCATGCGTTACAGTCCCTAATGAAGAGTCCCTCCCCAGCACCCCTATAGCCCCCTTCAGATACTGGAAGGCTTCTATGAGGTCTCCACACAGTCTGCTCTGTCCTCATACGATTTTCTTAGAACCTCAGAGTCTAAGCTCTTCTTCCATTTAAATTAAATATCTGTCTTTATGGCTGAAAAGGCTAACTAAGTGAAAAGCTATGGAATTCAATCATGAGATGGTCGAATTCGAGATCCTCAGGACAGTGAGAAGAGCGTGCAGCAAGCTCACTGCCCTGGACTTCAAGAGAGCAGACTTCGGCCTCTTCAGGAACCTGCTTAGTAAGGTTCCATGGGATATAGCCCTAGAGGGCAGGGGAGGCCAAGACTGTTGGCTGATATTCAAGGATCACCTGCTACAAGCTCAGGAGTGTTGCATCCCAACCAGAAGGAAGTGCAGCAGGAGGGCCAGGAAACCTCCTTGGATAGATAAGGAGCTGCTGAAGAAAGTTTGAAGGAAAAAAAGAGCTTATAAAAGGTGGAAGCAAGGACAGGCGGCCTGGGAAGAACACAGGGATGTTGTCTGGGAAGCTAGGGACCAGGTTAGGAAAGCTAAGGCCCAGTTAGAATTAAACTTAGCTAGGAATGTTAAAGATAACAGGAAGGGATTCTATAGGTACGTTGCAAATAAAAGACAGACTAGGGACAACATAGGCCTCCTCTGGAAGCTATCAGGAGAACTGGCTACCTTGGATTTGGAGAAGGCTGGGGTTCTTAATGACTTCTTTGCCTCGGTCTTCACTGGCAAAGGCTCTGACCACACCACCCAAGTCTTGGAAGGCAGACACAGGGACTGTGAGAATGAAGACCCTAGGCCCACTGTAGGAGAGGATCTGGTTTGAGACCATCTTAAGAACCTGAACGTACACAAGTCCATGAGACCTGATGAAATCCATTTGCAGGTCCTGAAGGAGCTGGCAGATGAAGTTGCTAAGCCACTGTCCATCATATTTGAAAAATCATGGCAGTCAGGTGAAGCTCCCGACAACTGGAATGAGAGAAATACAACCCCCATTTTCAAGAAGGGTGTCCTGGGTTCAGCAGGAGCAGTCATTTTTCTCCTTCTTGGTAGCTGGTGCAGTGCTGTGTTTTGACTTTTGGCCTGGGAACAGAGCCAATAACAATGATATTTTGGTTTGGCCAAGGACTTTGTGAGCCTCATGCTCTGCCAGGGAGGAGGGGAAGCCAGGAGGAAGCAGAGACAGGACACCTGACCCAAACTGACCAAAGAGGTATTCCATACCATAGCACGTCATGCCCAAGATGTAACTGGGAGAGTTACCGAGAAGGGCTACGAGACTGCAGGGTTGGAGGAGATATCGACTGGTGCTTGATTGGGCTGGGAGTGAGTTATCGGTCGGCAGGTCGGCAGGTGGTGAGGTGTTCTGTTCTCTTCCCTTGTTATTTCGTTTATCATTATTATTATTGGTGGTAGCAGTAGTGATTTGTGTTATATCTTAGTTACAAAACTGTTCTTATCTCAACCCACGGGAGTTGCATTCTTTTCGATTCTCCTCTTCGTCCCTCCGTGAATAGGGGGAGGGAAAGAAGGGGGGGAGTGGGTGAACAAGCTGTCTGGCTGGGGTTAAACCAGGACAAAGGGGAAAATGGATGACCCAGGGAATTACAGACCAGTCAGTCTCACCTCTGTGCCTGGCAAAATCTTGGAGCAGATTCTCCTGGAAGGCATGCTAAGGCACATGAAAAACAACAAGGTGCTTGGTGACAGCCCATATGGCTTCACTAAGGGGAAATCCTGCCTAACCAATTTGGTGGCCTTCTATGATGGGGCTACGGAACTCATGGACAGGGGTAGAGCAGTTGATGTCATCCATCTGGACTTGTGCAAAGCATTCAACACTGTCCCACACGACACCCTTGTCTCTAAATTGGAGACAAATCAATTTGATAGGTGGACCACTCAGTGGATAAAGAACATGATGGCTGCACACAAAGAGTTGTAGTCAATGGCTCAATGTCCAGCTGGAGACCAGTAACGAGTGGTGTCCCTCAGGGATCAGTGTTGGGATCGGTCTTGTTCAACATCTTCATTGCTGACATGGACAGGACTGAGTGTGCCCTCAGCAAGTTTGCCGATGACACCAAGCTGTGTGGTTCGGTTGATATGCTGGAGGGAAGGAATGCCATCCAGAGGGACCTTGACATGCTTGTAAAGTGGGCTGATGCCAACCTCATGAAGTTTAAATATGCCAAGTGCAAGGTCCTACACCTGGGTTGGAGAAATCCCAGACACAGCTACAGGCTGGGCAGAGAAGAGATTCAGAGCAGCCCTGTGGAGAAGGACTTGGGGGTGCTGGTTGATGAGAAAATGAACATGAGCCAGCAGTGTGTGCTCACAGCCTAGAAAGCCAACTGTGTCCTGGGCTGCATCAAAAGGAGTGTGACCAGCAGGTCGAAGGAGGTGATCCTGCCCCTCTACTCTGCTCTCGTGAGACCTCACTTGCAGTATTGTGTGCAGTTCTGGTGTCCTCAACATAAAAAGGACATGGATCTGTTGGAACAAGTCCAGAGGAGGGCCATGAGAATGATCAGGGGACTGAAGCACCTCCCATACGAAGACAGGCTGAGAAATTTGGGGCTGTTCAGCCTGGAGAAGAGAAGGCTGCGTGGAGACCTCATAGAAGCCTTCCAGTATCTGAAGGGGGCATATAGGGATGCTGGGGATGGACTCTTCATTAGGGACTGTAGTGATAGGACAAGGGGTAATGGGTTAAAACTTAAGCAGGGGAAGCTTAGATTGGATATAAGGAAGAAACTCTTTCCTGTTAGGGTGGTGAGGCACTGGAACAGGTTGCCCAGGAAAGCTGTGAATGCTCCATCCCTGGTGGTGTTAAAGGCCAGGCTGGATGGAGACTTGGGTAACATGGTTTAGTGTGAGGTGTCCCTGCATAGCAGGGGGTTGGAACTAGTCTTAAGGTCCTTTCCAACCCTAACTATGCTGTTATTCTATTATTTCTACCTTAAAGCTTAACCTCATAAAGGAATTTGTACCCATTTTAACTGTCCTTCTGCCAGTACAGTTAACCTAACAAACCTGTTTGTGAGGACTTCCACAGCAATATGAAATAGGCTATATAGCTTTCTCAAGAAAGAAACTAAGTCAGAAGTTCCCATGTTGTACAACATACAGAACTTCATTCAAGTGCTGTACTGCATACAACGATTTGGCATAACTGTGCTCAGGGGCTCCTGTGTAGGCTGATGCAATTTTTTTCAGTTTGAGGCTTTCTTGGCATGATGTACTTCCATTTTAAGCAAGCTCATTAAAGTATGATGTTTTGTTATATTAGTATTCTAGAAACAAAGGGCATGTTGAGTTATCAAAGGCCAATGTCAGTACACTGAGTTTAAGAGAAGAACTACAACAGCTATGTGCATTTACCTAATTTCTTTGATCTCTTAAGTGCAAGCTTCAAATTAGCTAGGTATCAGAAATGAAAGATTTAATATACAGAAATGACTCCACTCTGATAGGTGCTTTAGGTGAGAGAAGTTCTACCTTGCAATAGTAAATCCAGTACTCTGGTTAAGAAGTAACATCTTTCCTAATAAACAAGTTAAGATACAAATACACTTGGGCCACCCCTTCCAAAAAGGGGAGCAGCCAATAGGTAAGCAAGACAAAAATACATGCTAATTAAGTTTAATCAGCTTAGGAAACTGAAAAGGGAAAAGGATGAAATGTGGGTGAGCATAAAAGCTTAACATGATGCCAGGAAAGAGTTTCAGTATATAAAGAAAACAGGTGGGCAAACCTAGCGATGTAAGACTAGTGTTAAAAACCATCTGTCAACCACACTGATGAGACAACTAGCCTAAGACAAATTGTCAGATGGTTTACGAATACAGCAAGAGAAAAATTGGACATGACCCATTTTACTGTTGCTTACCTCAGCTTACAAACATGAACAACTGTTTTGGGTTGTGTTTGATTATTTACTTTTACTTTCCCTTAGAGTTTGTCAAAACATGGTTTCACAATAACTGGCAAAATGTCCTTTCACCCTTTTGAGGTGATCCTTAAAACTAGAATCCTGAAATATTCTTGCAGTGCAGTTGCTTTTACAATTCCTATCCAAGATGCACTTAAGCATGCAAGCAGTAGATATGCAAAAGTAACTGTAAAAATGGGTAACACTGATGTTTCTGTTTCAAAATCATTACTAATGACTCTCAAGCTGAATAGTGGTTCCCCACTGGATTACTTGAAGATTCAGGATCTCTCTGTTAAGGTCTGTTAGAATTTGGGGAGGAATGAAGGAACTAAAAAAAAAAAAAAAAAAGAAAAAAAAAAAGTATGTAGTGGGGGTTCACATCTACACCTGTCAAACCATCTTTCAGTTATACTCACAAAACATTCAGCAGCATCATCCATGATGCCCAGCTGGAAGCGTTGCTCATCTTGAAATGTCTTTGCAAGAGCAGTGCGCAGGGCATCAGAAGGCAGTACTTTCTCACTGCTACACTGGAACTGGTTGAAGATACTCTAGGGGTAAAACAAAAATACAGGTAAGTTACTGTATTTTGAAAACATGACTCAAGTTATCTGAAAACAAAACAGCAAACATTTAACTCACTTTGATCAAGCAACACACAGATATTTTGTATGATACAGGGACTACCACAGAATTAGTTCCTCCTTTGAAATTACATGCACCTTTGTGTATTCCTTCCTTTCACATACCCAAGGGAAGGTCCACAGCTTAGGGGTAAATTTCCCTCAGTGTTAATAATCCCCCTTGGATCTTCCTCCAACTTTGATTCCCAAAGCAGACACAACAGACACCAACATTTTCTCACTTTTTATTCCTATTTCTTCAGTTCACTTTTTCATTCCCACCTCAGTAGCTTTTTTCTTAGATAAGCTGCCTTCTTTCCTCTTTCAAGCAACTCTTTTCAAATGTCTTAGCTATCAAACAGCCACAACCTGCTGCTTTCACTGTTTAAGGAATTTACCTTCCAGTAAGTCCAAGCTGGTAAGAATCAGATGATTTTTGAGTCAGCACGCAGGAGGGAAAAGGCATGACACAAGTAACAGTTCCTATATATGGCCAGTTGCTCATCTGCTGCCATAAACCTGCATTTTCATAACTAACTTACAGGTCATGTGGGTAATCATTTGCAAGGAGGAGTACCTCTATAAAGGCACATTACGTCTGAAGTGCGGATTATATGCATGAAAGTTTGGTACATATTCCCAACTGATTAAAAACCCACTTTTATTTTGTGTCTGTGTCTATGTGCATATACTTGTGCATGTGACATCCAAAAGATCTTCTGAACAGTTATTTAATTTGCACTGTGCTCTCCACTAAAACAGGAACATCATCCTGTATGCAAAATCCCCAGTTTAAGTAAAAACTTCTAGCCCTTATTTTCATACAAAACCACTCTGTCTCCAACACCCCTCTGCTCTACTTCATTTCATTTGACAAGACACCATCTTCATCACTGTCAATCTCAAAATTCTGCTTGTCCTTTTCTATCAAACCTTTTTCACAATTTCCCTAAAGGTTGCAGAAAAGCTCCATTCTAACTGCAAGAGAAAAAAGATCGATTTGGTATCACTTAGCTTTTCTGCCTTCTAAACTTAGTCAAACAAGGAGAAAGCCAGCCTCAAACTGTTTTGCCTATTTGGTTTTCTTTCAACCCTATACTGAGAATCCATAGCAATGTTGATTCATGCATCACTTCCTCCCTTGACTACAGAAAGCCTCTTCCCAGCATACTTAGGATCTGTATTAACTGGAAATAAATCACATGAATCTTTCTCTCCTTTAACTATTCTTTCTTGTTTCTTATCAGGAAATGAGACAGCAAACTGGGAGATGGTTAACCAAACTGCAACCTTGGCTACTCAGAGAAAGCTGAAAGGGTGCAGAACACAGCTGTTATTGCATAGCCAGCAACCCAACCTCCGAACCCCTGCCATTTCTGGCTGCAGGAATTGCAGTTTATAGTATTGACATGTTATCTAATATAGATGTAAAATGCCCATTTCTCTTTACTGCTGTTTTTATTTTGATAGCCCTTTATGGTGCTCATTCATGTGTGAGGGCCCACTGTGCTGAAGCCGAAAGCTCTTCTAATATTGCCTTTATCAGAGTATCAAATAACGACAAGGAAAGTGGTAATGCAGAGAAGGCTGTAAGGCAGTACATCTCACACCTTATGAATGACAATGCCTACCTTTCCTCAGTTCCTTTATATATATGCATACATAAAAAATGGAAAGAATGACAATGTCGCTGTGCTTAAGAACCTTCATCTCCATTTCTGTCACTGTTAACTGAGCAAGTTCCATGTTTCATTGCGAAATTTTCTCATTTCAGTGGACCTCAAAACCCAAACACCTCCCCCCCAAAAAAACCAAACTAAATCAAAACAAACAAAAAAACCCCAAACCAACCCCAATCCCAGTGAAACATAATTTCATCCTGCTTCAGCACTTTATATTAAACAATTTAAAAGCACTTGAAAATATTCATGACTATGCTTTAGAAATGTGGTTATCATCAATCTCACTTCATAGATCTGGAAAATGCGACACTCGCCTAGCAACTGGCCCACAGTCTCACTGCAGGAAACTGATGGACAGGCACAGGTTGCTTCAACGAGAGCTCTGAAATGGCTCTGCACTTTTGGGGTGTGTGGGGAGAGAAACAATGCAGCCTCCAAACTAAGTAAAAGGAAAAACAAGCAAGCAAGCAAACCACAATTATTTTATATTTCCATCTTTAAAGAAATAGTATACTGGTATGCTTTAACTGTAGCATACCTACTAGTTAACATAAACAGATCCAGTAAGGAAAAAGTGATCTTGAGGATCAAGAGCAGCTGTTTCTCACAAGATCCTTTTTTTTTTTTTTTTTGACATTGCAAAATACTTACATAGCCTTCACAATTAGAAGTCTTAAAACCAGTGAGTAATTCTGCATTTTAGTCTAATAAAGTTCAAATCTTTTCATGTCATTGCACAGTGCAGTTTAAAGCATGCTTGAAGACAGTGCTTGCAGGAAATACAAGAAATACCTCAAATGGAGTCAGAAGTAGTTTGAACAAAAGGGCTCTGTTTTTTGTTTGGTTTTGGTCAGGGTTTTGGGGGTGCAGGTTTGGCGGCTCGGGTTTATTTTGGGGGGGCGGGGAGAGAGGGCGTTTTCCCTTTTCCTTATTTTTCAAGGCAGGTTCTTTGCTCACCTTCAGAACAGGCCTTTCTTGTGTCTCAGCCTCAGATGGACAGGTGTGGCTTTTCCTGCATTTTCATTGCTAAGTTATCTAAGTCAGATCTCTTTCCTTAATTTCAGGTCTTGCCCTTGAGTGATACACTTAAACTAACATATCTGTTCCATACACAGATCTGAAAGCCAGCTGGGTGCAGACCAGAAAAGCACTGCTGATTCTGCCCCAGGAGTTTTCATGACACCCTTCCTGCAAGTGCTTGTAGAACTTCATGAGAACTTTCTATACAAAACACTCAAACTTTGTTCTCTTTCAAAACCTTCTTCACTTGAATTTGAAAATAGTGAAAACCCCATTAGTGTATTTACCACACTAATGACCTCCCTCAATGCCTACATTCCAACACAAATGAGTGTATCCCTAATGGCAGCAACAATATGAAAACACATTGCTAAACGCTTCAAGAACAATGGAAGTCTCTCATATTTTACCAGTTTTCAGCAACTAAAATCAAGGATCTTGGGGGGGGGGCATGGGGGGTGTGGTGGTGGTGAAGAAGGAACAAACCAAACCACAAAGCCCCAGAACTTTCGGAAGAATAAACTGCCAAAGTCCATCTGGTTGCATCCAGTCCTTCTCCAAGTACTAACTCAAAAATCAACTACAGTTGATCTTTTACCCAAGGCATCCAAATCTGGAAATCCCTTAACCATCACAGGCAATCTACTGTAGGGCCTCACTTGGCTCATTACAGTTCAGAAGGCTTTTTGCTGCTTTTGTAACTGGAAGCCTCATGTTTTTTCTATTGCAGATCTGGGCTTCTGACATACATCAGTGGAACAAAGGCTTGTAGAGTCAGTGGTATACCAAAATAATCATAGAATGGTTAGGGTTAGAAAGGACCTCAAGATCTAGTTCCAATCCCCTGGCATGGGCAGGGACACTTCACACTAGACCATGTCACCCAGGGCTGCATCCAACCTGGTCTTGAACACTCCCAGAGATGGAGGATTCACTTCTTTGGGCAACCTGTTCCAGTGTCTCACCACCCTCACAGTAAGAACTTCTTCCTTATACCTAAACTGAACATTCCCCTCTTAATGTTTAAACCCACTACTCCCTGTCCTATCACTACAGTCTCCTCCAGTTTCAGAAATGTGGGGATCAACATAAAATTCCTAAAACTTCAAAAGAAAATCACCTAAGGTTTGAGACAAGGAACCTTTACCACACAAGTTAAAACCTGGCTTTCTATTTCAGAATGCTAAAATTCACATGCCTTATCATAAAATAAGTTGTTCTTCACTTGGTTAGAGAATACAGATAATAAATCTGGTAATTCATGCGATTGACAGTTTAGAATTCTTTTAAATTTTAAAGATTTGGAAGCTGAAATAATTTTCTCCCTAGGAAAGAAGTATTCCATTTATTCAGGGTAAACTGACATCTGCAATGTGTATCTAACCACACTGATGAAACAAACCCCAGACTTGATACACATGCACATATGACTTTTTAATCAAGCATGTGGAAGCAGGTTGACATAAGAATAAATTGATAGCTGAAGCAACACCTACTGAATCAGATTGCCATTCATGCACTGTGAATTAGAGTTATGTCCATGTCAGCTTACTGAGAACTGATTTTTCTCTTCCAGCTTTATGCAGAACTTTCTTCTGGATGGGGATATTACTGCAGCAAGTGTGGTATTTGTTTCAAAGAACGAAACATGTTCTACCCAAATGCTTTAGTATTCCCTATATCAACAGCTTTTGCTTTTAGCAAAAGCTACAAATACTAACATGGCCAATCCTCAGCTTTCTCTCACTGCTCAACATGTCAGTATTATTCTTGTGTTACTCAACTGTTTCTGTTTTTTCTTTGCTTATTTAAGGGTTGCATATTTTTTTCTTTTTTGTTTGTTTGTGGTTGGGGTTTGTGTGTGGTTTTTTGTTTTAAAACTTTATCTTGCATGCCCTTCATACTCCATTCCATTAGTGGCACATTTTTCTGGTCCACAGTATCTAATCTCTCATCCAGAACATCACACTCTTCTCATGCAGCCTCTTACTACAACAACCTGTTTCAATAAAAATTCTGGCTGCTAAAATCACTTTTCTCCCATCCATCAGCCTCCACCTACAGTATTTTAACTGGCTCCCATTTCTTCCTCACACTACATTCTCTTTCAAGGGTACAATAAAATTCTAGTTCTATCTGGTTTTGGGTCTCCTTCCAAACCTCCAAGTCTGATCAATCAACCTAGATTTCCACTTATTCCTTTCTTTTACAGTCTCTCCCATTTTT